GGAAGGTAGGATATTTCCAAGCCCAGAATGCGTTATGAGCGGTGAATTAAGGCGAAAACCCCTTACCCTGAACATCAGAGAGAGACTACTGAGGTCAAATGACGAAGGTCAAGGAAATCCCACGCGATAGGCGAGGATGGACTCCGGAAAAGGTCCAGGTCCACTTGAATCATTTCCCACGAACGCCCCTATCATTGAAAATACGGCTGAACGTTAGGCTATATATATCAAACACACCCCACCAATAATTATATCCCACAAAGCTAATTGTGGCTAAAGATAGTACCAGAGATGAGTATGGGGTACCATACCATACAAAGCACGTTGCAATAGAATATAGGCCCGATCTATTGAAAAAGGGACCACGAAGAGCAAGAATTCAATAGCGGCATGTGGAGTCCTGGCCACGAGGTCGACGGAAACCGCTTGGTGCGGATAACCCCTATCATGGAGTCGGACAACGAATTGGTCGAAAGTCAAGGACAAAGGGACTAAACGATAATTGGCTACGCCACACCTATTGTTTCCTGGACTAGTCTGCCCAGATGTACGAACGAGTACGGAGTACGTACCCTGGCTTTGCCCTGGCGGTTGAACCGCTTTGAAAGTGTGATCCAAAGTCTCGACTCAGGAACAGGATGAAGATCGACACGCTTTGATGCTGCAGGCTCCAACCATATTGTACTACTTGTAAGGATACCGATTTCAGGGTATGGAGTGCTCCGTACATATTTCGCAGACAAAAAGTAAAATCGACTGTGCAGCTCGAGTGGTGCACGGAGTAACCGACTCAAAATTACTGCATATGCGCCATGTCAGGGACATCCAATCACACGGCCAGACCCCGAAATTAGTTTCTAAAAATGCGCTTGGGCATTGACTCTCTCACATTGCCTAGTACAGGGGGAGATGCAAGCATCATCAAGCACTGGACCCAGAAGTAAAACAATGCGGTCTAGCCGTTATGGCGTGAAGCGAGACCTTCCAAGGATCCCGTTGCGGGGGCAATTCGCAGGAAGTTGAGGTGTGGCGTTCTCCAGGTTTACCGGGCTTGTTTCTACTAAAATTGGCCGAGTTATAATGTTACACTGGTTACTCCATACACGATGGGGAGAATAGTAAGAAACAGCAGTTGTCCTATGCTAGGATACATGGCCAACGTATGTTGTATAAAACAAATTCTCGGACGACGATATACTCAGTGGCCCGGAGGACACAGTACAGTTCCATAAATAATGAGCCACAGAAATCGTAATAATAGTTAAAAAGGTACTAATGTAAAGGCAGTACGGATATAGTAAGTAATAATACAAAGGGTGTCTCGGCGCTTCGCTCCGACAAAGAAAGAGAAAGGGTTCGGATTCCATGTTAAGATGAACCTCCGGAGTAAGAACCAATCCCATTTCGCAAGTCAAGTGCACATCATTGTGGATTCGTCCTTACACAATACAACATACGTTCTCTTGGCGAAATAAATGGCGGGCTGTTCAGGGGTAAGTGGAGATGAGAAGAGACCCACGGGGAAATGCCAACAACTGGGACGACAGGAACGGGTAGTGGATCGGCGTTGCGGTCTGAAACATCACTATTAAGAGAAAAGAAAAACATATCTGAGAAGAGGGTGAAGTTGTAGAATATGTAGTATTGCAGTCCAAGTCTTACGGAGTATGTGCAACTTATAGGAAGTTTGATATAATATACTCTATAAAGGGTGTCTCCAATATCAAGAACGATCGTCAAAAGTTAGCGCTAGAAACACTGGGTCAAAATTACCAACCTGGTAATGAGAAACAAAACCCCCCCCTAACATCTGATCCAATCATAGAATTGAATAAATGAAGGCTGTGCGAGGGTCAAGTTCCGGGTACATGGCAGGTTGCGGTGTGGGTTAGTGGTGGATTAAGTACCCAGTACAATTTGGTCTTTGTTCTTTTCCCCTTTTTTTAGGGCCAAAACAACCAGAAAGCAAGTGGCTGCTGATCTCGACACTAATCTCCCTGTTCATACAAAGGCCCCCTGCCTCCCCCGTGCGCTTTCTGTTTCTTTCTTCTCTCCAAGTACATTCTTCGCAATTCCAGTCACTCTCTCTCGACTTCGGTCTTCCACTCTTTAAAACACTCACTCTCTTTTAAAAGCTACGCTTTTTATATATACCTTTTTGAACATCACTTTTTACGTTTTGCGTACATAACATTCAAAATGCGTTTCACTACTGCCACTATTGCCTTCTTCGCCGGCCTTGCCATTGCCGCCCCCGGCGCCGACCAGACCGTCTACGAGACCGATGAGGTGACCATCACCTCTTGCGCTCCTACTGTCACCGACTGCCCCGGCAACAGCGGTGCCGGTGTTGAGCCCACTGGCAGCACCACCCCCTCCAGCGTTCCCGCCGCTGTTACCTCCCCCGCTGGCGAGGCCTCCGAGACCCCCGTCCCTTCCGCTGAGACCCCCGCCTGGTCTTCCGAGACCCCTGCCTGGTCCTCCGTCCCCACCTGGGCTCCCAGCGTTCCCGCTCCCAGCGCTCCCTCCAGCGTCCCCAGCGCTCCCGCTCCCCCTGCTGGCACCCCCGTGGTCTCCAACAGCGTGATTGCCATCACCACCTGCGTGCCCACCGTTATCTACTCCACCGTGCCCGTTTCTGCCACCACCCCCGCTGGCAGCAACGTCCCCCACGGCCCCACCGGTGGTGTCCCCCACGTTCCCTCCAGCAGCAAGGGAGTTGCCACTGGCACTGCCTCTGTTTCCCCCGCCACCTCCTCCCCTGCCTTCAACGGTGGCGCTACCCTCAGCGGCTCCCTCGGCTTCGCCGGTGCTGCCGCCGTTGCCGCTTTCTTCCTGTAAACGACTTCTTCCGGATCTCTGATGCACTGCTATACCTAGTTGGATCCATTGGGTCTAACCCTGGTGTAGTTCCTGTGCCGAACTGGAGTGGTTGATTAGAGGTGTTGCGAGAACAGAATTGTGTTATTTAGGGTTTCTGGTGATCTACTTTAACAATTGTTGCTTTCTGACTGGATATGTCTATCCCTTTTTTGCTTTTTTGATATACATATTCCCTTTTATTTTCTTCTCGGGCTCTCCTGGATAGCTTCGGAGTTGTGCGAAGCTCGCTTGGTGGCTTGAGCACGACCTTAATGTAAACCATGACAGCTTTTCACATTCTCCCTCTCTCCAGCGCCTGTAGCCTATTTGGAATGTATCACTTTTACACATTCATAATCCCATAATTTGTTTTAGACCTCTTTCCATGTGCTCTTTCCATGTGGGCAAGTACATTTTGAGCACTTCCTTGTGGAGTCCATCCTACTAGTATTGGGCATCGTAATTAAGTGCGTACTATTGGTAGGAAGAGTCTTACCCCTGACCCTGTGTGCGACCTCGAATCTTGTACTTCCTAGGGCTGAATATGGCACGACTTACAATTGTAAAGCCAACTGGATGGCTGAATGTCGAAATTCACACTCAACTGCTTAACCAAACCAACTACTGTTGGTGCTGACCTATGCTTGAGTCTGAACAGCTATAGTCTTATAATCGCACCTCCGTGATCTATATTGACTTTATATGCACTAACAAACTATTGTCTTAGTATACACAGAGTTCAAGTTAGTATCTACTCCACCTGAACCCATCGGTCAAGGTAGTGCCTAATATATGTTTCTTTTCCAAGTTAATAGCAATTGTTGTGTCTTATAATTAACATTCCCCTCGATCTCCCCGCACATTCTTTGTAGTTTGCTGTCACAGATGGGTCTGTTATAGTGTCTCCCTTCCCCACCCTTACAACATACGAGCTCGGTGTCTTCATGAACAGAGTATGGAGTACAATATAAATAACTACAATATCATCAAAGGTTATGCATGGAAAAGTCGTTCCGCACATGTCAAGCCGCTTCCGCCTATATTCTAGTCACAACATCAATAGGTGAGAGTATATCTCTAGGAAAAGATGCACGAAAGAATATCTGAGAAGACATCTAAAAAGGACTGCGGGACACTAAAATACCTAGACATAACAAGGCCATATAAGCGAGCATTCTTGTACTATGTCCTCCGGACACACGAGCATAAAAACCGTCTATAGTAAACGATTGGCCACCAAAAATAGATAGCCCCACTATTTCTGAGCTCAGTGCATCCGAGGTCGGCTTGTTCATTGATCGAACGGCCTCTCACCTTCGAATCGAGTGTCTTTCAATGCCATTGCACTTCCATTTGAAAGGAAAGAAGACAAGATTCAAAGAACTCTACTATGATACCCGCGATTACTCTCGGGCCTCAACATATATCGTATACGAACCCTGAAATACGGGTATTGTGGACCTGTGACGCCTTCTGATTTGTGATATACGAATCTTGGGAGTACCTCGGCAGGCTTGGCGTTTCTGCTGCTCTTCTAGATAAAAACACATTAGGAAAGAGTATACTCAGTTGAGGCCATTGCAGTAAGAATGAGAAAATGCATGACTTCTTGTGTTGGATGCGTTCGGGCCCCAAATTGTATTCTGAGCAAACTAATCAATTTGGGATTATAGTGGGATTCTCTTGATATCCTTTGTTTTATCCTTATAGGACTCCGTGACCATTGTCCTGAAAAGGAGCGGTACAATCTCGCGTTCGGGCAATTGATTTTCAGTGTTGACTTCGGGATACCCGATGGACAAGAACAATGAAAGATCATCGGTTGTTTTTTTTTTTAGCCCGAAGGGCAACCTTCCCACTTCGCTCCTCTGAATCTGCCTTGATTTGCCCCTTCTTTGTGTATAAGCTGCATAATTAGTGTGTTATATTCTCATCTCCGGGGAAGAGTTGATGCCCTTTGAGCCTATCCGCCCTAGGACCCCTTTATTCCAAGTACTATTCGAATCTCGCTTTGGATACGAGCCCTCCGTGACGGTCCACTATTGAAACCCCCCCAAAGTTAATATAACTCGTGTCTAAAGATAGTGTATCAAGCCATATATATGATCTACTTATCCAAATCCCTGTTCTACCGCACAATGCTTTTCGGTCTATCCCAGCGACGAGCTCGCGAGCCTCTCAAACCACCCTCCGATCTCGATTATCCTCTCATGGATCTCTCATCCCTCGAGGGCGCGCCGATAGTTAATCCAAAATTCATTGTCCCGCCAGATACGACGACCCCTCGTATTCGTACACAGTCGCGTGCTTCCATTCAACATTTGTTCTCAAAACCTCTACCACCGAGACCCGCTTCAACGGACGGTATCTCGCCAACACAACATCGTAACACACTACAGGACTGGCCGCTCGACCTGTCCACAATCGATGGCAATATAAGGCGGGCTTCGGCCCGTAGACGTACGAGACCTCCGCCGAACGAAGTGTCTCCCGACTGTGATCCGCGTGGACGCGAGATGCGCCCACGTATACAACACATTCCACGTCCTCCCGTGCGACCACGGAGCTGTGTGCCCCTCACTTGGCTTGAAGATGAAAAGAAATGGATGGTTGGTGAAATATATATACCTCGCACACCTGATTCTCGGCCCCAAGATGATATAGCGTCTTCTCGATCACCGGTCTCTCCAATTTCGCCTATTTCACCATGGCAAGACATGTTTCAACGTCTTGACGAGCACATCGAATACAATGATCGTCTCTGCCGGGAGAATCTGCTGAGACAGACCCCGTCCTATGACGGACACAGACTTAGTCAAACACATGACCCAGATTTAGGAGATGATCGGGTTTCCAGATGGGTTGCAACGGCTCGAAGAATGCATGAGAATCGGCAGGATTGGAGGTGATCGAGCGTGAGCGTGATACCACTTTGTTTGGTTAAAGCTATAACTTTTCTGATATGTCATGAGAATATATTGATCCAGGGCTTGACTCGCTCGTCTATGAATATTACCGAACGGATAGGCATTAAGCAGTTTTGACTTTTCTTTGAACCAGTCTTCTGTAGAAGAACATGAGCACCGCTTCTAAGAGAAAGGGGGGATAGCATCCACCTGGCTTGATCTCAGACTGTCTGACTCTTGGTTCGGGCAATCTCTCTTAATGGCTCAGGGGTATCATGACTGCAAAGCGGTGTTTCTCATATCTATAGCCTTATAGAATTGTAGTTCGTATCCTTTCCTTCGCCTATTTCAAGAGTATAAAGCACCCACTGTGTTCTCTAGTCACGGCGACTTTCTGTTCTAGATGGAAGCATCCAGCCTATCCTTTCCGAGGTCGGCTTGGTAGTATGAGTTATTATTATATCTTTTGTGAGACGATGAAACAGAATGATAGTAATTCCCATTTCTTTGACTGGAATTGGAGCCTCAGCCCGATATTCTATATCTTGGTCTATGGTGCCTTGTCTTATTTTTCCCACTGTTGTATCATTTAGGGAACCTTTGATGGCGGCCCGTGAGCCGTTAAACAGATCACCTGCTATTGGTCCCTCTTAATATTGGCTTTTCGATCAATGTTGGCGGAAATACGCTACCGGGAACGGAACAGGGGTCCTCAACGGGCCCATCTCCACTATCAATTTTAATATCAATTTCATCTAAAAGAGACTGCTCTCATTGCTCTGCTAACGCGCCAATATAATTCTTCTACAAGGTCCGTTGACGAAATGATTAACAGCGGAAATTCTGTAGGAGCCGGGGCCCATGACAACAACAGTGTGGTAGCTGCAAGAGACTCCATAGTTTGATACTTCGATGAAATAGTTTTGGAGTTACCAAAGGACTTGTCGTTCTGATATTATACTTCTCTGACTCTCTAACCATTCTTTGGACCTTCTTTATAGCTCTTTTGAACTTCTTAGTACAGTAGGCTCTATAATACTCATTTTTCAATTTGCCTCACTTTGGTCCTATTTTTCAGCTCCTGTTTGTAATCCAGTCTTATGTGATGACACTGTAAGACCGGTGTTTCACATTGTTTCGGCCACAAGAGACATTTGTACTGAGTAGACCAGACAAGGCCCAGTGTAGCCAAGACTTTGCATTCGATACGTTGTATAAGTATACCCCCGCATGGAGAGCCGAGATGTAGCTGGATTGGTCCAGACAAGATTAGTATGAGTAATCTCCAGGTGAGAAACCCTGATGCAGGGGTTTCCCCTCTCTGTGATGCCAGTCACGGCGCTGCTGTATGCCTGTCACTCATCGAGGAAACTAGCAAACTGCATATTGGATCCACCGCTCCACCGCGAGTTATCGACAGCCTCGCTAACCACCCCTGCAGGTTCCGTTGAGGGGGCAATAGGATCAGAGGCCGATAATAAGAAGATGGAAGATTCTCGAATCACTTGTTTTTTTTCTCTCCCCTCGCGGCTGGGCATCGATCCCGGTCAAGGAATGAGTGACTCCATTGCTCCAATTCTTTTGCGCGCTAACACAGACCAGCAGCTCTCCAGCCTCTGAATTATTTGCCAGCCAGTAGAAAAGGATGGGACATATGATAGAATAGAAAAAAAAAATTATATTATAAGAGGACACGCCCGACGGATTTCTCGGTCTAGTTTTCACCCCGGCATCAAGCACCTTACCAAAGGCGATTTAACTTTTTTTTTCCTGAATATTTTCGGATATTAATATGTCAGAGATGAGAAAGTGAGAGGCAGACTTGAATCGAATATCTGTCAAGTCCTTTGCAACGTTGAAAAGTTGCAAAAGTCCAAATTTGATATTCCCAAGTCCTTCCCCCATCCGTGGTTCACACCTGGAAATCTCCCCGATTCTACCGCCTTCGATTAGGAAAAAAAAAAAAGCCCTCCCCACCCCCAATGGTCCAACTCACCCACATCTTCAAAAAGGACAAGGACAAGGAGAAGACAGAGAAGAACAAGCCTGATATACGTTCATCCCGAAATTCCTTCTCCGCTTCGCGCACTCCCCCATCTCCGAAGCCGACCTCCAAATCCCAAACTAAATCACCTACCAAATCTCCCTCAAAGTCCTCCTCCCCCACCAAACCCTCCAAATCTTCCAAACAGTCCTATTTCTCCCACAGTCGGTCATCGTCGAATTCGAGACCCACCGCCAATTTCAAGTTTGCCCGGTCTTCGCGAGACCAGGACGTACACCCACTCAATCTCCCACCCGACGAGCTACGCCGTCGATTGTCCGCCATGGCAGCATCTAACGAAGAGCAGCGGAGCTCCATGGATATTGATTCCCAGGGACCTCAGAATAATGGCGTGAATGGCACTGAGGAGCGAAGTCCGACCCCGCCACCTCACCAGCCGAACTCAGCCTCTGCCGACGAGGCCGACTCCTTCAAGCTGGCCGGAAACAAGTTTTTCAAGGATGGCAACTACCGACGAGCCATCGAGGAATACAACAAGGGTATGCACTCTTTTATCTCACAGCGGCGCCGTGTTTCATGAATTAGCCTTGACCAGGGTCGCTGATGATTTTTTGTCTACTGCAGCCATCGAGATCAATCCGAACTCATCGGCCTATCTCTCTAACCGAGCGGCCGCCTATATGTCCGCTAAACAATTTTTGAATGCGCTTGAGGATGTTCAGCGCTCCAACGAGCTCGATCCTAACAACCCAAAGATCATGCACCGATGGGCGAAGATTCTGACGAGTTTGGGTCGACCCGAAGAGGCTCTGGAGGTGCTGTCACGCGTCCAGCCACCGGCGACCGCCACTGACCGGGCAGCCGCAGAGAAGATGCTGCGCTTTGTTACACAAGCCGAACAGACAATAGCAGAAGACCGCGGTCTCTCGATGGTGATCTATTGTCTCGACCAGGCACGGCAAGGGCTCGGACAAGGTGTCAAGGAGCCGCGCAAGTGGACACTTTTGGCCGCTGAGGCCCATCTGAGACTGGATAACGTCAACTCTCTCAGGCAAGGCGCAGGATATTGCGATCAGCTTGCTGCGCGAGAACAGCCAAGATCCGGATGCGATGATGATCCGTGCCCGTGCCTTCTATGCCCTCGGTGAGTCTGAGCAGGCGCAGAAGCTTCTGAAGATGTGCCTCGGGCTGGACCCAGACATGAAGCAGGCCATTAAGCTGCTGCGCATTGTGCAGAAACTGGCTCGCACAAAGGAAGAAGGAAACAACGCCTTCAAGGCCAAGGATTATCACCGTGCTATCGAACTTTGGGCCCAGGCTCTCGAGGTTGATCCCTCCAACAAGGATATGAATGCCAAGATTCTGGGTAACCGTGCTCAGGCTTATATCAACCTGAAGGAGTATGACTCTGCCATTCAGGACTGCACTGAAGCTCTCCGTCTCGACCCCGGATATATCAAGGCTATGAAGTGCCGTGCCAAGGCCCACGGCAAGGCCGGTAACTGGGAGGAGGCTGTTCGTGATTATAAGAGCGTTGCTGAGAACAACCCCAACGAGCCCGGCATTGCGGAGGAGATTCACGAAGCTGAATTCGAGCTGAAGAAGGCCCAGCGCAAAGACTACTATAAGATTTTGGGAGTCGGCAAGGATGCCAGCGATCAAGAAATCAAGAAGGCTTACCGCAAGCTCGCCATTCAATACCACCCAGATAAGAACCGCGACGGTGCAGCCGGCGATGAAAAGTTCAAGGAAATCGGTGAAGCCTATGAAACCTTGATTGATTCTCAGTAAGCCCGCCACAACTTTCAACGTCATTTGACACAAAGCTAATTTTATTTTCAGGAAACGTGCTGCTTATGATAACGGTGACGAATTGAGGGAGGGCATGCCTGGCGGCATGCATGGCGGTATGCATGGGTTCGGTGGTATCAATCCCGATATTCTCCGAGACATGATGAACGGCGGTGGAGGCTTTGGAGGTGCCTCGTTCGGCGGTGCTTCTTTCGGCGGCGGTGGTTTCGGCGGCGGTGGCTTTGGTGGCCATTCTCACGGCGGCAACCCCTTCGGTGGCCCCGGAGCCGGCTTTTCGTTCTAGATGAAGCCGTCTAACCCATTCTATTTACTCGATACCACGACGGATTCTTTCATTTTTCGTCAAAGATGACGAAACTCAAAAACAGGAATTGCATGTCTTCGACCGGAGTTGGAGTTGCACCTCGATATCTTACACATTGATCTGTTGGATATTGGGATTTCACTTTTTTGCCCACTGCCATATCACGATTTTTTTGTTTCTACGGAGACGCCATATGATTCCCGATATGATAGATTTGATATTTTTTTCCCCTTCAGTTTCTATCCCCCCTTTCCTCTTTCACCACTGTGGCTTGTTTCGGAGGATTTTGTATATGAGTGCTGCGATCTGGAATGAATCTACGAGAACAGTACATTTATGGATAATGGCTTTTAGAGTCCATGTGTACAGAAGACTACATCCGATCAACCGTTTTCGGGCGTTCATCTATTGTCTTATTCTTCTCTTGAGGTTCGCTCTCGACTTTGACTTTGACTTTCGACTTAGAGAGACTTGCTTCGCATATCCTGGCTCTTGATATACTTCGTGAGGTTGTTATTCTTGTTTCCACATAGTCATACAAAAGCATATGTATGCGGTGTATACACCTGGATGACACTCATAAAACAGATATTCACTCTCAGATATAGTTCATTCGCGTATACTTCGTAGCTACATGGTGGCATTGTCTTCTAACGCTGACATTTGGGAACAGAGTTTGGACTCTTTATTGGAAGTCTTTCTCAGGATGAATTTTGCTGATGTCCGAATATACTATCTCTGCTTCGTTCGTCTACCCCTATGAAGTGGAGGAATATATGGAAGGGTTGGTCATGCTATGTATTCATAATAAACAATATAAGCTATCATAATGTATGTACTTCTCCTCGACATGCTCGAACAATACTAATAAATATAAGACAAATAAATCAGGGGAATCTCAGAAATATGGGGTGAACAAGACAAGAATAGCGAATGGATATACCGGACAGAAGAGCATAAAGCAAACTCCGCCGCTAATGAGTGATGACGTCCAAGTCGAATCGAACACAAGAAGGGGCATATAGAGATGAACGGTGAATAAGAAGATGCAAGAAAAGAAACAAGAACGCTGGCATAACAAGTCTTCAGTCAAACATAACCGAGAGCACTGAGCATAGTTTTGCATTCAGGGACCGGCAGAGCAGAGACACCCAGCGCGCGGACCAGAGCACCACCCCGGAGCCGCTGGAGACCGATAGCGACCTTCCAGGCCTCAGTATCCTGCAGCACAAAGACATACTTTTTGCCTTCTTGGTCACGAACACTGGCGCGGAGAATGTGCAGCCCACGGAACTCCGCCTGAGGCGGGTGAACAGGGCCACCATCATGGCTGGCAGTAGCGCTGCGCGCGAAGCATGCACTGGGCGAAGCCAGGCGGCAAGTATTCTTGCATACTTTAAGCAAGTTACCGAGAAAGGCCTCTGATTCTTCGTTAGTGGGAACGTTGTTCCCACGACGGAAAGAGAAAGGGTTGCTAGACGCAGTTTTGGCGGATGGAGTGGCGTTTACCTGTGGGCACCACACCTCCGCTAGCTTGAGGGTCCAGGCCTTGACGTCCCACTCGCGCTGGCCGATGCCACGTAGGTCATCGTCGATGAAGAGGCCTTCCGTTGTGATGCGCAGCACTAACCCATCGGTGATCATGCCTTGGCCTGAGACAAGTTGCGCCACTGGGGTCTTCATAAAGGCGTTGTTGAAGGCGTATACACCTTGGATCACGATCTTATCTGGATCCTTGGTAGAATATGTACTGCGATGTGAGGGGGGAGGTGTTGTGCGCGCAGTAGAGTTCGAAGGTGTATATGAAGACTCGGAGTACACCGAGCCAGCCGCATATGGCCGTCGTGGTCGGTCATAGGGGCGAAAGGAATAAGCATCGTCTTCGTTGGCGGTTTTGGCGGTTGAGTAGGGCGCTGGTTTTTTGGGAGAAGGGGTACGAGGCACATTGCTAGTACTAGCTGGCTTGGGCGGCGGTGATTTGGCAGCGGCCTCTTTCTTTGCGTCTTGCGCCTTCTTCTCGGCGTATTTCTTGCTTGCTGCTTCCTTGAGCGCCGCGAATTTGGCCATGGCTTCTTTCTGGGCAGCGGCCTTTGCGGCAGCTTCTTTCTCGGCAGCTTCTTTGGCGGCCTTCTCTTTGGCTTCTGCCTCCAACTTTTCGAGCTTGGCCTTTGCCTCAGCTTCGGCCTTTGCTTGTCTCTCGCGGGCCTCTGCGGCTTCCCTCTCCAGTCGCTCGCGTGCCTCCTTCTCTGCAGCGGCCCTCGCAGCGGCCATCTCCCTTTCGAGTTGCTCGCGCCGTTCCTGTAATTCCTTTTCCATTGCTTCGCGCTCGCGCTTTTTCTCTTTTTCTTTGGCCTCTGCATCACGCTTGCGCTTGAACTCCTCCATCTTTCGTCGTAGCTCCTCTTTGCGTCTCGTTTCTTCTCTTGCTCGCTCCCGTTCGGCTTCTTCCTTAGCCCGTTCCTTAGCCCGCTCCTCTCTAGCCCGCTCCTCCTTGATGCGCTCTTCTCTGGCCCGCTCCTCTCTAGCACGCTCTTCTCTGGCTCGCTCTTGCTTAGCTCGTTCTTCTCTAACGCGCTCCTCTCTAGCGCGTTCCTCCCTAGCGCGCTCTTCACGAGCACGTTCTTCCTTAGCACGTTGCTCTCTAGCTCGCTCCTCCTTGGCTCGCTCTTCTTTAGCGCGCTTTTCTGCCTCCTCCTTTTCACGTTTGTTATTATCAGAGTTTGGAGGAGTACCAGAGCCATGTTGATTACCGGAATATTGGTTGCCGTGAGGTTGTCCTCCACCAAAATTTCCTCCCTGCTGCCTTTGCTGACCTGCCCCGTTCCCGCCATAATCCGCACCCGACGAATATTGATTGGTGTTTGGACCGGCGTTCCTAGGGCCACCCGGGCCTCCAGGGCTGCCTGGGCCCCCAGAACCACCACCAAAGCCGCCAAATCCGAATCGTCCACCTCGAGCGCCGCCATTGCCTTTATTGTCTCCTGAGCTGGTGGACTGGATGGAGCCAAAAAGCCATCCAGCGACACCCACCCCGATCGCCAGTACCGCCATACCCGTACCACTGCCGCTAGCGACCGTGGCTAGATACCATGCTTTCACAATCGGGGAGATGTACGACCACACGAAACATGCGACGAGTGTGCTTGCGACACCTGCTAAGAAACTGTTCCGGTTGCACTGCAGGGACGGCAGGTAAAGGAAGCCCGAGCCAGCAGAGTGAGGTGGGACGATAAAGATGTCGTAGTTGCCATCGGGCAGGTCCGAGGATTTGCGATATTCGCCTTGAGTCGTATGGGGATTTTCGCCGTGAGGTGGCGGCGGTGGTGGCGGACCGTCGTCCATGTTGGATCAGCCCGGAGCGACGATCGTGTTAATATATATGCACGCTGTGCAGCGAAGCGCAGCGTCGGTCGAACGACTAGCTACAACCTGGGTTGATCTGCCGGATTAATCCTAGATGGACAAGTTCTCGCGGTTGAGAGTCAACTACCAGGTCATATTAGTTTGACAAGTGTTGCACTGAGGCCTCAGGCGCTCAGTGCTGTGGAGGGTACTCAGATACCAAATCCAAGAAAACAACACACAACAAAGACAAAGATAATCCAAACAAAAACCAACTCGCAAAGCAAAAAATTGAAAGTGCGGGAGAACCTGAGTCTGACTCGGGGGTTTGTTTGGAAGAGAAGTGTGGGAGCTAAGGATCGGCGCCAACGCTTCCTGCATCACTCGACGTGGCCATCACATCAAAAAACAAAATTTGGCAATGCGAATAAGCAAACGAACGAGAGGGATGTCTACATCTCTCGATGCGGCTCAACCTATACCACAAATTATCCGAACTATGTTGAATTCCTCGGAGGCCACGCGATTTTACGTAGGGCTATGTGACCGAGCTCAGAAACCTCAAGGGATGGAATTACAACAATTACAACAATTCCAGTTAATTTCCTTTTTCCCAATAGCAATGGGATTGTTTAAAGCTATGACTACGCAGTGTTTGTTCGTAAACACATTTCTTTTTGGGAAGGCTTTTCCTGCAAAGGCATCAATGCTCCGAGTCCCTGTTAAAATGGGCAAACGGCTGTTTTGTTTTGATTTTACTCTTTTGGGAAAGGGCTTGGTTGCCGCAGCGGAATATTGTTTTTCCAACATGTTGACCGCCTTGCTCTCCGCTCTCTTGGCTTAACATTGTTGAGAAAAGGGAGTAGGAAATAGTATGTTGTAGCGAAAAATACCAGTTGAAGGCCTATAAACCAAGTCCAAAGATCCAGAGTATCTCAAAGCTGCTATATCAATGAATACAACGTCAATCTCGCGGTTGCTCCCTATTCTGTGGTCAAGAGGTTCGTATTCGCATTCGGACCACTTCAGCCTCTTCCCAGCATATTTATAGGAGCTCGGCATGCTTTGGATGTGCACATTATTTTATGAAGGTCCAACCACACGCGCTCCCTATAACTTACACAGCCATTGCCGTTGATGCATACTTTTATACCCCTGTGTACCTCAAGCTGCAGACCAGCGCAAAGAACATTCGGTCCAAGCATGTCCCTCAAGTGCTTTGGCCCGAGCAGATAGCGCTGGGCGCGGAGCGCGAGAAAACACTTCTTAATCTTGCGGTCAAGCGGTTGGGGAAGATAATCTAAGCGTAGTGGGTCCAAGATATTCAAGTTGGAGGATGTAGCCACCGACCTCGGGAGGCTTGTTCACTGGATTAGGGTTGATAGTGTGGGGGGTGTCGTAAAATGCGACTCCGATGTTGGGACGAAAGGTCATGATTCAGAAGGGAAGAAAACGGCAAGCAACTATATCTCATGACCACCGTCCACGGGTGTTGCGAGAGCGCTCCAATATAGATGTTCCCATGATCGGGGCATGAGGTGCGGGACCATGACCAGGTCGAAGAGGACATAGGGGCTTAGAAGAGGCACTTGGACTCATGCTGGCCCACTTAGGCCATGCTGAACACTGGATATTAGTCTGGCAGTGGAACGACCCGCGGACGTAGTGAAAGTAGTTTAGGAGAAGTGGATGTGGAAGACAACCCCGGTGGTGAGAGGAAGAAGACCCGGCAGAACGTGATCCGCAGCCGGTGATTGGGTGGCCTTCCACTCGAGATTCCAATACCCTTTCTCTCCATCGGAGTGTTGATCGTTCTCTTTCTATCTCACCTCAGCTTCGAATCTCCTCGTATCCCCGTCTGTAATAGTCTGGTAGTCAGGTACTACCGCGTGTTTCCGCCCGCCAACCTGTCCTTTTAGTTCCCCTCCCAGGCACCTATCTCCGCCAACCTTGAAACCCCCCCCAATCTCCCTCCCACTCTCTATGCCGCGTCGCTAGCCACCGAAAACCGATTTACGACCTGCCCTTGAAGGGCATTCCGGCACCATGTCCTCTCAATCTCACCACGGTCATTCCGCGACGCCACGTCAATTCCCCGTCTACAACCCCGTCGCCGCAGTGGCAGCACCTGCGGGGACCTTGCTTCCGGGCACCAAGATTCAAGTCGGCAGCCATCGCGTGGTAGTGGAGAAGTACCTCTCCGAAGGCGGTTTTGCTCATGTCTACGTGGTGCGATTGCCTCAGCCAGTCAATGGGTCCGAAACCGCAGTGCTGAAGCGGGTGGCCGTGCCTGACAAGGCGGCCCTTGCTAACATGCGCACTGAGGTGGAAACCATGAAGAAACTCAAGGGTCACCGGCACATTGTGAAGTATATTGACTCGCATGCCTCACAGCTGCGTGGAGGTGGATATGAAGTGTTTCTGGTCATGGAGTACTGCGCAGGTGGTGGTCTTATCGACTTCATGAACACCCGGCTTCAACACCGGTTGACAGAGCCGGAGATCGTCAAGATCTTCTCCGATGTTGCTGAAGGTGTTGCCTGCATGCATTATCTTAAACCGCCCCTGCTCCATCGTGATCTGAAAGTTGAAAACGTTTTGATCTCGGGTAAGGGGAGTTCCGCCACCTATAAACTTTGTGATTTTGGATCATCGGCACCCCCTCGTCCTGCTGCCACTTCCGCCGCCGAGGGGCGCTTGATTGAAGACGATGTGCAGCGGCATACGACGCTGCAGTACCGAAGCCCAGAGATGATTGATGTCTATCGGAAGCAACCGATTGACGAAAAAAGCGATATCTGGGCACTCGGTGTGTTTTTGTACAAATTATGCTATTATACAACCCCCTTCGAAGAGGTCGGTCAGATGGCTATTCTCAACGCGACCTTCAAATATCCTTCATACCCTTCGTTTTCGAGTCGGCTAAAGCTGCTCATTGGTAAGTTTGGAACATTTATTTGGCCTACAGCGGATCATCGATGGCTGACGACTCCGCACAGGCTCAATGTTGAAGGAAGATCCCCGCAATCGTCCCAATATATACGAGGTTGTGCGCGAGGTGTGTAAAATGCAAGGAAAGGAAGTTCCCATCAAAGACGTCTGTTGCCCCACACCTGTTTCAAAGAAAACTTGACATTGACTGTCGATTAGATCTATTCCAACCGCTCTGTTTCGGAAGCGCGCAAATATCAAGAGCTGCCGCCCACGCCCACGGAAGCTCCTGCCGTGGGCGCAGTATTTTCGCCTCCAATGCAGGAGACCGAGATAATCCCAGAGATTGCGCCTATGCGGCGTGGTCGACCTGGGAAATCCTCCTCGTCCCAACCTAGCTCCGAGAGACCGAGTCCCTCGCCCTACCGACCCGCTGCTGAAGACTCGTCAAGTGATCCTTTTGCAGCCCTGGATGGGAGTGCAGCCCGGAAGAAGACGGCAGAGGAAATGTCAAAACGGTTCCCCTCCTTGGACCAGTTTGACATTTTGCATGAAAAAGGGGACAAGTTCGAATTCGAGCCAACAGTAGAATCTAAGCCCGAGGACGAGGATCTATCTCGAAGACTCACCAACGCCCTAGCCGATGATGCTTTTGCCCGACGTGTCTCGCCTGAACGTGCGCCGAAGCCAGTCTATAAGCGGCCATCCCAGAATTCTCCTGTCCGAGCACCTAATTTGCGTGAAACTCCCGCGCCACAACCTGTTCCCTTGTACCAGCCAACCCCTCAGCGGCCCACGATGGTGTCGACAGGTACCATGACCTCGCCCATCCAAACACCTCGTTTGCCGGACCCAAAGCTGTTGAGCCGTCCAATCTATCGATTCCCTTCGTCTGATGCTGAACACCGATCTTTCAGCGAGCCATTTACAACTGAGAAGGAACAGAGAGTGACACGGCCGCATAAGGCGCCATCCCCTCCTATGTCGAGCTTGAATGTGGAAGAAAGCTCGCGGCTGCCTTCTGACCGTATATCCAGCCAATCTAACTCTGCGCGCCCCTCGATGGAAACCTTGAGACGACCTCCAACATTAGAGGTAAACGAACCCGTGGGACGTTCCAAATCCGCCACTGGAAAGGCTCGCCCGATGTCAGTCCAGTCGGGAGTGAGATATGACCAGCCGTATGACTCTGAGAGCCCGCGGTCGTCGCTGGATATGTCCCGCCTGCAATACGAGGGAGGCGCGCCGCTACGGTCAGTGCGTACCGATGTGGATCGTGAGTCTGATCGAACTATTTCCTCTGATGTTGATTACCTACGCGCGATGGAAGAAGAAGAAAGCAATCGGAAGCGCGAGAAACGCTCTAGTGGTAGCCACAAACACAACAAGCGCGGTAGTCTGTCTACTTTGTCGCTTTCTGGAGGCAAGAACTTGTTTGCTGGTCGATTCGGCGACGCATTCCGCCGATTCGAGGCGGGCAATCCAGAGAAATCCTCATCGCCATCGGCAGAGGATGCACCTCGCCAGGGTCTGATTGGAGCGTCAGATTCAGCCGACGAAGGCCTTTCGCCAAATGACGAGATTACCTTGGAAGACGCGGACGATATATCACCGGAGATGCGCCGGGAGCTTGAACGCCGCCGGCTCTCGCAAGAGGAGAAACGAGTTGCCAATGCCGCAGCTGAGTACCGGCGCCGGGTTGCCGAAACAGGCGATGGGGGTGGAAGAGCGCTCGGGGATGGCGCACGCTCCCGCACGATTCAAAACAAGGTACAATCGTTGCTTGGAGAGTCTGAAAAACCGGCCGTCCCCAAGACTGCTACTGGATATGGACGGTTCACGGAGACTTCCTCTTCTTTGCAGGCAAAGCAGAGTGAGGCCAGACCCACTATCTCCAGCCAGCTTCCCGCATCTCACACATCCGGCCCGACGTACACTGCTCGTGACGGCTCAATGGCACTCCCGGATCGTCGAGAGCTCCCGCAATCTGCCGCTCCTACCAGTTACCCATCCACGCAACGTCCTGCAACTCGACCAGCTGCACCACCCAAACCTAAGAATTTACGCGCTGGAGCAGCCACCTCGCGGCCGGGTACTGGTCATGATTCCCAAGAGACCCCAGCAAGCCCGGGCGATGACTGGGAGGCCAAATTCAGCCAACGTTTTCCAAGTTTGTCCGGACTTGAAATGGAGACAGAGATTAAAATCCCGAAAATCTCTAGCCTGAGGACGCGGGAAGTGTAGAGTATAGGATATGGATACGAGTCTTGTTTCACATGATGCGGGTTCAGCGTGTGTTCGTGTGTTCGCCGTGCGGGCGCAACTCGGGGAATGACATTGGTTCCCACGAGCTATGCATATATAGACAGTGACATATTGAACATTACATAAGTTCTCTTTAACACATGACTCTAAAGGTACTACCTTTATTTTCTGTAATCGTAGCTGGGAACGCGCTCGATCTCAACCATACAAGTACTTCAACTTGTCCTCACACCGCCTTTGTTTCTCCCCGCAACAGCAAGGGAAACCTCACTTTCAGCCTATAGGTCGACAGTTCTTTAGATCTCTGAGATCATGGCGCCAGTGACTTTGAAAACGGTCGATGGTGAGTTATGAGCAGCAGGAGCCTTGAGAGCACACATGCTAATTCCTCACGCAGACGACCTCAAAGATGTGATCCAGCACTTATTCGAGATCCAATCCGCCGTCCACGGCTATCTGGGTCCAGAGACCCAGCAGGAGCTTGTGCGAAAGATGTACGTCAGCTGCAAAGGCATCCTATGCTCCTCCATTTCTTTATTCCCATAAATGTGCCCCGTCAAAGCAAAAGACTTCCCGACAACCAGCATCACTAAACACCAACCCTACACATCATCGAAGCTAATCCACCTCAGCAAAAACCTAACCCTCGCCCTCTCGACCCTGTCAACACACACACAACTCCCGTCAACACAAGAGACCCAACCAGACGCAAACACCGACCCCTCCAACCCCTCCCTCGCCAGCATCCAGCTCCCGCCAGAGATAATTGACTACGTCGACTCCGCGCGCAACCCGGACATCTACACGCGAGAGTTCGTCGAGCTTGTGCAACGTGGTAATCAGGACCTGCGCGGGAAGCGCGAGGCCTTTGCGAGCTTCCGCGACGTGCTGGCCCGCGAGATGCGCAGCGCTATGCCCGAGTGCCGCGGCGAGGTTGATCGTGTGGTTGCTGCGACAAGCGGGGCAGTTGATGGTCCTGATGGTGTCACCGGAGCTGCGAATACATCTGGTGGTGGGAATTGAAGGCCCTTTGATAACTGGGTGCAAGTCTGGTATTCCTGGTTGGTAGACTTGCCTCTCGTTGGCTGGGATCGACTTCACGGGCTGAGGTCTAGTCTGGCCTTGGTATTCGGTTCGTGTCTTCAGCCGTTTGGTTGAAGTTCATGGAGCTGGTGCATTCATTGGAGTTTTTATGGTTTGCATTGAGCGTGGCGCTTGCAAGGCTTTTTTCCCCTTCGGTTTGTGTATATAGTATCATAGTTGAGAAATCTTATGGCGGTCTTCTAATTACTAATAATTAAGCGACAAGCGTTACTTACCTATACGTAGATATGGAGTTGATCTTCCTATACCTGTACTCTGTAGCAGATACCACCACTAGAGCGCGGAGATCGACTACGCCTTATCATTGTCACAATATTTATCTAGTTGCTGATAGGTTTACTTGACAGTAAAGTGGTATATGATCTCGATCAAAAGCGACAATTGTCTTGACTGTTATGATATTCCCCCTATTTCCCTGTCAATTTCATGCTGCCTGATAAATACGGCCACAAAGTAATATTCTGGCTGACGTCATCGGATGGACATGAAGCAAATCTCGGAAGATGAGTTTCCGGACCTCATGAAGCACAATGCCAGCTCGAAGGACCCGATCGGCGGCAGCGTGTTTGCATTGTCGCCAGAAAAAGGTGCGTACATATGTATTCCAAGCCTTCACACGGACTTTGAACTCATTATTGGATTAAAACAAGTAGTTGAAGTGTGATGCCCAGAGGCCCCAGTGTGGGAATTGTCTAGCCAAGAGTATCGATTGTCAGCTAGGCGTGGTCCAAAGTAAGCCAAGGTACAAATGAGATGTCTACGACCAAGATTCAAAATTCGAGCTGACACTTTGTTTTGGACCGACCAACCACCGTATTGCGGAATTAGAGCAGGAGAATGAAATCCTTCGACAGAAATGTGCCCAGCTCCGGAGCAGCAACACCATTTCTGCTGAAAGGGTCCAATCGGAGCCGGAGCATTCTGCTACATCGGAAAGCACTCCACGTACTCCATTGCCATTCTCGAGAGTAACGGGTATTGGTCTCTCGTGGAATGACTCTGCCTCCACTTCAACTAGAGATGCATCACACCCAGAAGTACCGGAGAACGACCGCAGAAACACGTCATTGTATCATGGCCCAACGAGTACAGTGTATGATGATACTAGTCCGAACCACGATGAACAGAATAGACCAGGTCAATCCAACGAAGAGGGAACACGGCATTTTCTCTTTTCCCAGACAGCGAGGCAGAGCAAGTTGGATCTCATGCAATACGAAGTATGGTTATGGTACTAACTGGGAAATAACAGGGCAGCTTGAGCCACTCAATCTTGCCGCCGGAAAACTCGACTTTGATGGCATCGATCCTGAGATCGGTATGCATTTACTCTCCATATACTGGAGTCGTCAGCTTTACACAGCACAGATAATTTACCGGCCGGCTTTCATGCGAGATATGGCCTGCGAGGGACCGTACTTTTCCAAATTGCTGTTGAATGCGATCTTTTTCGTGGTATCGAAGCATTGCGACCGACCAGAGCTTCGTTCGGACCCAAATGACATTACGACTGCAGGGTGGAAGTTCCGGCAACGCTTCACGCAGCTTTTGCGAGATTCCTTCGATAAAAGCGAAATCACTACCCTTCAGGCATTGTTGATTATGTCTAATGCGCTTTTTTCCAGATGTGATGAACGGAGTCTGTCATGGCTATACGCTGGAAATGCATTCAACATGTTCATTGATCTTGGTCTGCATGTGCTTCCTGCTGTGGATAGTATCACTGCCGAGGAACTTGAAATTCGAAAGCGAGTTCTCTGGGGAGCATACTGTGAGCTATCACTTCCCTGTACTGGGTACTGCATGAATTATATCTAACTTCTCTAATAGTAATTGACAAGATTCAGTGTCTTTTCCAAGGGAGACCTCCTCTTCTCAACCGTGTCAACTTGAGAGCGTCACTAGACTTCCTGGATGACTATGATGAGCTCGAACCTTTTCAGGGTATCACATACATGACTACAAAGCCTGGAGTGATTCCATCACTGAATGTTTCTTTGCTCACCAATTTATGCGAGTTGACAACAATTGTGGAACGTATTCTTCGTGAAATTTATTCGGAATCTCGAGAGTCAAATTTGGTCCATAGGGCAAATATCTCGGAGGAAATCAAGTCGCAGCTGAGAACCTGGCGCCAAAATTTGCCGCTTCGGCTTGACTATCTGTCATTCCCAGACCAGGCGGTCTTCCTGCCTCAGTCCGCCTGTCTTTTGTATGTTCCTCGTCCCAAGTCTAATTGATAGATGCTAACTATTGGCAAGAGCTTTGTTCAACGTGCTTATCATTTTGGTCCACCGTCCTCTGATAATTGGTCACGACGGGGTCATCAATTCAACAACTGCCCATGAGTCAGTGAACGCATGTACAGCAGCTGCGAACCAAATTGTTCAGATTCTCCATGACTATTCGCAGCACTTTTCTCTGAGCAGTGCACCGTACATGCTCTCTTACGCTACCTATATCAGTGCAACGATCCACGCACGGATTGTTGCACAGAAAGGGAGTAACTCAAGTGTGTTCCAATCACTGGTTCTTTGCCGAAATATTCTTGCCGAACACACACGCCTTTATTCTGCAGCAGAAAAGGCTAAGGAAAATTTGGATAAGTTGATTTCTCACTTAGGGATTAGTGCGGCAGACGACAATCTACGCACTGGAAGCCCCGGAGTTCTGGAAACAACTTTCCCAACGAGCACATGGTCATGGACGAGTCGATTAATGTTGCCAGGGAACCCGGCGTCGCAGATGGTGCAGTTGAATTTGGATCTTCCCTGATGAGTTTGGAATTATCGGATCTAGATCTTGAGGCAATTGCTCAAGGCTTTCAGGTTGATGTAGAGTCGCATTCATTCTGGAATTCTTTGGTATGAATGACCATACCCTCACGATATGCACCCATGGATGGCCCCTCATGATTTACGCGATCAAGAATAGCGAGACAAGCAAAAGTTTCTCCAGTGGCATATATAATGCACTAGCTACCGTAAGGCCCAGAGGCAGTCCTGCCTGCTTTCTGGGTGACAATCTCCATCTCACTCGCGAGCGAGCTAGTCAGAGCACCAACATCAGTCACAACGTTGACAAAGTCATACCCTAGGTCGGCATATTTCTTTGCCTGCTTTCCATTTCCACAGTAGATCCCAGCCTTCTTGCCTGCCTTGTGCGCCGAAGACAGAACCTTCTCGATGGCTTGTTCCAATTCAGGCGCAAAAGTGCTACCCAGCACGGGGTGCCCAATACCATTGCCCAGGTCAAAAGGTCCGACAAATAACAAATCGAGTCCTTCGACAGCAGCGATAGAATCAACATTGTCAAAAGCCTCTTTCGTCTCAATCTGAACTGAGAGCAGGAGGTTGGCATTGGCCTCAGTCAGATACTGGGTGGCTGATACATCCCTGCCAAACCTGTCCATTGGGAAAGGCGATCCGAAGCCTCGCTTCCCTTGTGGTGGGAATCGGCAAGCCTCGACGAAGGCCTTTGTGTCTTCCACTGTTCGCACGAGAGGAGCGAGAACTCCGTGTGCGCCTGCGTCCAGGGCACCTATACAAAAGATGAGAAATCTTCAAGTGGGCTAACCTTGGAACAATATCAGGTCTTGTTTGACATACGTTTAATCATCCAAGATTGGAAATCTGGCACGCGGACAATCGGGCTCACTCCATATGACGTTATGGCGGGGACAGCTTCGTGCATTGCGGCATCTGCGAGGAATGTTAGCATGGAATTCCTAACAATGGCAAAGGCGCTGACCATCAATATTTCCGTGTTCACAGTCCACTAAAACCCAATCGTATCCAGCTCGTGCTAGAGTGCGAGACATGTTGCTGCCGGGCAGTAACTGCCACACTCCCAGAGCGAGGCCGCCCTTGTCGAGCACTGTCTTTACACGATTTAGACCTTGCATTGTTGATGATTTTGGCACAGATGAATTGTTGGAAGTTCTATGAATGGGAAGTTAACCAATAACAGGTCGGACGTCATATCTAAGAGATCCCGATAATTCGGATGGTCACATCCCGAGAGGCAAAAATCTCGGCTCGTCACGGTGATCACGCGGGGCCAGCAAACTGTACGATTCCGATGATTCGACCCCGAATAGCTCGGCAAGTGTCTCCCGACTGCACTCCGCATTTTCAAAAGCACAAATGGGAAGCCTGCCATATATAATCCATTGTTCCCCCTCACATGGAATGTTCATCCCAGACACTATCTCAATCTATAGTAATCTATAGTGCACATATAACACCATGGCGTGTTCCGACAAGAAGTCCTGTGAGGGGTGCTCATGCAGCGATGACGCCAAGCCTCAAGCAATCAACATCGAAGACTGTCTAAGTGAGTTGCAGGCCCTGAGACGACGCAATCAAGAGCTAGAAACGCGCATGGGAGTCGCAAGCAAGGCAGATAATGCCCAAGTCCCCGTCAAACAACCAGGACGAACACTTCGTTCGTCTGCATGGTTTGACTGCCGCAGCAACCCCGGCATGACGGCTATCTACATGGAGCGGTATTTCAACTACGGTATCACCAAAGAAGAACTCATGTCTGGTAAGCCGATGATTGGAATTGCTCAGACGGGCTCAGATATTGCGCCTTGCAATCGCCATCACATCGAGCTCTCCAAGCGAGTTCGTGAGGGTATCCGCACTGCTGGAGGTATTCCCTTTGAGTTCCCTACACATCCTATTCAGGAGACCTCGAGACGGCCCACTGCTACCCTTGATCGTAATCTGGCGTATCTTGGCTTGGTGGAGATCTTGACGGGATATTTCCTTGATGGTGTTGTGCTGCTTACCGGGTGTGATAAGACAACCCCGGCTTGTTTGATGGCTGCGGCTACCATGGTGGGTATCAGGCCTAAGAGATTCCTAGATCCATGCTGATGTTTTTTAGAATATTCCTGCTATTTGTATGAACGTGGGACCTATGCTCAACGGTTACTCCAAGGAAACTTTGACCGGAGCAGGCACTGTATTGTGGCATGGGCGAGAGCTCTATGCCACGGGTGACATTGACGAACATGAGTTTATGGATTACATCGCCCGAGGGTAAGCCATTGCCAAAGCTCCGGTTAATGACCCAGAATCTAACCCAAATTCCAGAACTCCCTCAGTCGGCCACTGCAATACAATGGGAACTGCCTCGACGATGAATGCCCTCGCAGAGTCCTTAGGAATGGCACTTCCTGGGTCAGCCGCTATTCCTGCTGCCTACCGTCATAGAGCCCAGTGTGCCTATGAAACAGGCAAACGGATCGTGGAAATGGTGGAGGCAGACCGGAAGCCGTGTGATATTATGACACGCGAGGCCTTCGAGAATGCTATCGTGGCGAACGCTGCAATTGGCGGCAGCACAAATGCTCCTATCCACATCAACGCTATCGCGCAGCACGCGGGCGTGGAGGTGTCCATGGATGATTGGGATACCTTCGGATCTACTATCCCGTTGCTATTGAATATGCAGCCTTCGGGGGAATACCTCGGTGAAGAATACTACCGGGCTGGAGGACTACCGGCTATTATGGCTGAGTTATTAGACCAGGGCAAGCTGAACGGCGATGCTCTCACTTGCAATGGCAAAACTCTTGCCGAGAATGTCCGTGGGAAGCATACATGGGATCGACGTGTCATCAAACCATACGACGATCCATTGATGAAAGATGCCGGATTCGCTCATTTGAAGGGTAATCTCTTCGACTCTGCAATAATGAAGACGTGTGTCATCTCACCCGCATTCCGGAAGCGATATCTCTCCAACCCCGATGACCCAGAGGCATTTGAAGGATCTGTTGTAGTGTTTGACGGACCGGAAGACTACGAACATCGCCTGGAGAATACGCCACATATCGACGAGAAGACCATCCTTGTTATGCGCGGTGTTGGCCCAATCGGGTACCCTGGAGCAGCAGAGGTTGTCAATATGCATCCACCAGGCCGACTCTTGAAAGAGGGTATTGATGGACTTTTCTGCATCGGGGACGGCAGACAATCGGGAACATCTGGGTCACCTTCTATTTTGAATGCTAGCCCCGAGGCCGCAGCTGGAGGCAATCTTGCTATTTTGAAAGATGGGGATAGACTGCGCATTGACTTGCGCAAACGGCGGGTTGATATGCTCATTACCGATGAGGAGATCGAGCACAGAAGGAAAGCATTGGGTACTGAGGGATATCCCATCCTCCCGAGTGGTACTCCGTGGCAGGAGATCTTCCGCCAGGAAACTGAGCAGCTGAGCAATGGTATGGTGTTACGGAAGGCAGTCAAATATCAACGACTAGCTCAAGAAGGCCAACCACTGCGCCATAATCATTGATAGGCGGCACATCGGACAACGTTGTTGAGCCGTCGCCTGGTTAGGTTTTCACCTGGTAGGAAGACTTTGGGCGTATCAATGTTTATAAATCTATCTATATAATACTCCAAATATCCCATGTCATATATTGAAAGTGCTTTTGTAGGAACTACCTAGGTAAGCTTGCAAGCCGGAAGAACCAATTATGTGACAAATAAGGAGAATAACTGCAGTTCTCGTCATGTGGATAGTAATTAGGCACACCGAAGAAACACAGCATTAAGAGAAGATACCGAAGGAAAAAGACATTTGACTTTGCGACTAACAAATGAAGTATATCACTAGAGTCCGAATGGATAAGTTTCGCCCTTTCCAAGCGGCGTTTCGGGTTGGATGACCTCCAAAGGTTTGACGGCCTGGGTCCTATCGAACCAGATATAACCATCAAACTGCTTGTGAAGGAAAGCCTGCGAGTAGTGGGAGACACGCTCGGTATCAGGGCGGTAGATGACACCAATGAAACGCTCCAGCCGTTGCTCAGCAGCCATAGCTGCGCGCAGAGCGGGATCTATGCAGTCCTTACGCAAGTCGAGCACGAAGCTTGGCACCCCTGTATCGTGGGCAACAATTTCCCAGCTATCATCTCGGGATGGACGGACGGACATGACCTCCATATCATCGTCCCACTCATGGGCCGCCGCGACAGTGCCGGTGTGAGTTCCGCATCCAAGAATGGTCACATTATCGCCTCCCAGTCGTTCACGGCATAGCTGCCCGATGTTGAGCTCATTGCGGCGATAGCCCATGCTTGTATAGCGCGCATCCCCGACGTGAGAATTGTGCGCCCACACAATGGCTTTCTCTCCCTCATTGTGCTTTAGCAGGCGTTCCAAGGTCTCAAACATGTGCGTGTCGCGCAGGTTCCACGAACTCGCTGAGCTGTAGTACATTGACTTGTAATACTTCTCCGCGTCCCGAACAAGGTGTGCATTCTGTTCGCCGCTGTGGTATTCATCGCCATCCTGCGAGCTGGCATATTCAAGCCGTTTCTCCAGAAGTTCTCCGAGCATCTTCATCACCGGGGCTTCACAGTCTTTCATGCCTCGGAGGGATGCCAGACCATATGAAGTGGGTTCATCAACCCAAGGCTCTAGACACCCATATCGCTGGCGCGCTTGTTTGGCTGTCGGTCGGTCAACCTTCTCCAAGTATTCGATCACAGCACGAATCGAGGCTCCCATGCTGTACAGGTCCAGCCCGTAGAACCCGGCTCTTTGCTCTGGTGGGAGGGACTGGTTTCGATCACGCATCCATTCAACTAGCTGCTGCATCTCGGCATTCCTCCACATCCAGGTAGGGAATCGATTGAATGGTTCATATTGTTTCGCTTTTCCTCCAATTTGCGCCTTGGGACCTGGGCGCAAGCGCACGTATCGGTCGATGGCCTCTGCATCCGGCCAGTCTGCTTCGACCGCGACCATGGTGTAGCCGTGTCGTTCAATGAGTCGCTTTGTGATCTCTGCGCGCGCAGCATAGAACTCAGATGTCCCATGGCTGCCATCGCCTAGGAGAATCACTCGGCTACCCGCAAAGGTATCGAAGTGTGATGCGAAGCTCTTGTCCTCGATTGCAGGCAGGGGCTGCACTGCTGAATTGAACAGTTCCTGTAGTTGAGGCATCCTTTTCGTAGTTCGAAATATAGACGCCAAACGCATGGACGGTTAAGCTATGTGGTTGGGAATATCTTCACGGGAAATATTCTCGCGTAGATGAATATGTCGAGTACTGACATGCTGGAGATTACCCATGGCATTTCTATTCTTCTTACATCAATACAACATAGTTATGTTTCCTGTTTTCGCGGGACTTTTCCCAGCGAATTATTGGCATCCCGGCCACTAAACAGTCATCATGACTTCATGCTCGATGGCAAACCACAACGCTTCAATCCCGACGACACTGGAATAAATGACACCTCAGAATAAAATTCGATAACAAATGCGGTGGTCCAGGTCGCTCTTATTCAAACAGCACACTACTAGACAAACAATCATTCATCCCAACAACTACGCATGTGCCCATCCTGTTTCAAAGGCACATATCTCGAGAATGGCTCTTCCAGTCAGCAGTCCGTCACCGCGGCTAGACCGCTTTGGACAAGCCATGGAATCTCTTTACGGGAGTTTTAGCAATATCGAAGACCCAAACACCTGGACTCCACCACCGAGATCAGGCGGTCATCGGGGGCGATACCTATGGACAGACGCCTTCGGGGTCATCAACTTTCTCACAATGCACCAGGAGTATAAGCGAACTGGCAATGATACCACTGGCGATGACCGTTATCTGGTGCTGGCTGGTCGTCTGATTGAGACTGTTCATGATGTCCTGGGTAAGACTCGAGATGGCCGCTCAAGACTGCGAGGAGCGACAGATGAGAACCCGTTAAGCGGTGGATTGAGGATTGGCAAGACAGATGCCCGCGGTCCAGATGGCGATGGGCAATATCATCATTATCTAACGGTTTGGATGTTTGCGTTGAACCGGATGGCTAAAGCATCGGGAGATTTGAAGTACAACAGGCAAGCCATAGAGCTGGCAAAAGCGATACACCCCAGGTTCTTTGTTGATCGCGCGGCAGCTCGACCGAGAATGATATGGAAAATGAGCATGGATCTGTCAGAGCCGCTGGTCAAGTCAGAGGGTAATCTTGACCCGATTGATGGCTTTGTTGTTTTCCGACTCCTGCAAGATACAGCGATGGAAGCAGGTGATGGTGCATTCTTGGCGAGGAAATTGATGACTACAGACGCACTATGGAGCGAAAAGGAGAGCACTTTGTCTCAAGTGATCCTCTAGATCTGGGTATGACTTTGTGGACGGCCCATTGGTTTTCTGGGCGAGAGCGCTGGGCTGCTGACCTGGCGGGGAAATGCTTCGAGCAAATATGTCAGTGAACTTTGTGTCGATACTCCACGAAACACAGTAAGGATCAAGCTGACTAGGGATGGTTCCAGACAATCTGTTCGAGATCAACCAATATTTGGAGCGCAACATCAAATTTCGGTTGGCCTTTCGTGAGTTTGGAACCTGTATGGGTATCCAATGTCAGTCAGAGGTCAAGGAAAAAGAACGCGCAGTTGATTTGAAATGCTACTCCGACGCCATCATTGCTGCTTGGGATCCATACATGCAGCTATCCATATCCGATGATCTGACACCAGAGGACTTGAGGCCTATCACGCGGGTGATGTATGCGTCGGCGTTGATTCCAGGGGGTAAGCTAAGCCAAACGATCCTCTCTGATGAGTCCGGTATTTTGACATATTTCCCAATTCCAGCATTTCAAGCTGGATTCCTAGGGCCGGAACCAACACCAACCTAGCAATGAACAAAATCACATGTGGCGTGATGCCAGGGCAGAGATCAACAGTCTCCTTTTGGATCCCATGCAAGTATCTTTGAAATGGATAGATACGCTGTTCCTACAAGTACGATGTAGGTGTAGGACAGGCAGCCATTGGCAATTGACAGGATCTGGCTGGAGAAGGATTTTCATAAAAAGGTTAAGAAAATCTCAGTCTTCAAATCTTCTTTCCGACTCAAATGTTAGGGCATATTAAAATAATACATATGGTGTTATGCAGGCTGTCCGGGCAGTAGGGCAGAGATTGTTCCGTGTGTTAATATGTACCGGCCAATCAATGCCTGGTGTCCAGAGGGATATTGTGAATGGGCTGTCCATCTCTGTACAGAGATACTTAAACTTAATAATAACCATGACTTCCAAGGTTTCATTGTCGACTTCTGACCAGCGTCAAATCATAAGTGAGAGGCGGATTCGGATGTGTCTTGGACACGGGTGTTGTTGACAGGAAGTTCATGGAAGTTACCCTTTTATAGTCACGTCAAGACGTTCCTTCCTCGCATCAGAGTCCTAGTTGATATGCGAAAGCATATCAAACCTTGGAAGTCTCTTAAAAAGGACATCTATCACTCTACTGTACAATCCATCCATGGATGTATAGGTCCGACGGTGATACAAAGCACTCATGTATAACCTGGTGTTTCAACATCAGGATGAAGACGATTTGAGGACTTCTCTATGCCTAAAAACAATGCAATCTATCATTATCATTCGGTATATTCACAGCTGCTGAGAATCAGATCCCGCAGACAAAACGAACGTCTATACTCCCGGAAGTCCAACCACATCCCTCAATGGTGCTATCCGTCTTGGAAGAATATAGATGGCATACACAGCGCTCAAAGCAATGAACAGGCCAGACCACTAGAGAGATTGTTAGCCCATACGAATGCCTGCCCGGGTAAAATTTTGCCCAAGAATGCACTCACCTTTTCTAACCAAGTGTGAAACCAAATCGCGGTCATGAAGAGCATCCACCAGCCCAGGCCAACAACACCCCAAACAAGACGGAGTGACCACGTTCTTGCGAACCCGCCAGTCTCAGTTGAATCGATTACCGGAGTACTATCGGCATCACTAGCCTTGCGTTCACGTCCCGCATCCGCAGTGGGACCAACTTGCGACACACATGCGGGTGCGCGTGCGCTAGCCCCGACAGCCTCAAATGCCAGGAGTCCCGTGGCCAGAACCAGCATCAACACATGCCCGCTGATATCATGTCCACCCCTCCATGCGCCACCGGCTGCTTTGCACGTCGCTGCTGTGAAGAGCGTTTCTAGGCCGGTTGGGCTACTCTGCCCAGCGGTCATCTTCTCGACTTCGTCGAGAGCCCGTTCACATTTGCCGCCCGTGGCTACGAAACCGCGATCAATGATTGCCGGTCCGAAAAACCATTGTGTTGCAAGATACCATACTGTTGTGGCGAGTGCGTAGCGTAGAATGGCTTGGAGTGTGCGTCGGAAACGTGCTTGTTGCTGTGAGGAGGATTCCCGGCGAGATGGAGAGTAGAGGGGTTGGAATATGAGGAGCGAGACGAAAGCGGCAGTGGTCCATAACCATCCAATTTTTACAAAGTAGATATTGAAGATATTATTCTTTCGAGCGAAGTAGTTGACCGGGCTTTCGGATAGGTGCAGGTCTGTAGCCAGGGATGGGGCCAGAGGGCTCGCGGGTTGTGGGGAAGAGCCAGACAAATCTCTGGAATGGCGTGCTGTTGGGGAGATTGCTGAGAACAAAGACCCGAGTAATAATGTCGCAGGGTATATGAGGAGAACAGTTGAGAGGAGGGTGACAGGTCGCGCCGTGGCTGTGGCCATGGTTGTGAGCATAGGGCGAGATTCGAGTGGAAGGAAATGAAGTCGTATATTGTGAAAGGCACGAGGATTCACCAGCACATTCAATTATGACCACAGAGCATGTTGCAATTGGGAAGGTTGAAGTAGGATAAGTTGGCGACCTGGACAGATGACATCAGGGTTTGCCGAGGCTGCTGCATGAATGCCTCAGGCGTCAAACAAATATCAAACCCCGTGAAGAACACTAAACCTGTAATGTGCTTTCAAATCCAAGATAATGGACTAACAAGGACACTAGATCAACTGGAAAAGAGTCAGCAGTTACACTCTCCCTGCTAGTAGCCCTACAAGTGTAGAAATGCTGCGCACCAATGATGGTCAATTGCAAAATACTGGAACTGATGGATGTCGAAAACATAGTGAGTAATAATTAAGCATCCATCATTGAATTGCTATACCATACAACAAATTTACAGAAGTGTCATGTCCATCACCGAGCGAACAATCCTGCTCGCCCGCCGGTATTTTCGACTTATTATCATCAACTTAGTGCTTGATAGGCGTCCTTTGGGAAGAATCTTTGAGGACTTCTCATTGGTAATGTAGGAATCTCTGTATATGGGAAACACTATATATCTAAACTCACAATTGCTCAATGTCGGACATGGATATAGATCTCTATAAGCTTTGAAATGCCGTTCCCTTTTTGTAGTGGGCCCCCATCCAACTGTGGGGTATTTAACGAGCCCTGGATATCAAAGAATTCAAGTGAAACCGAACAAAAACCAAATGCGTCAACTTTCATCATAAAAATATACCCTTACTGGATATTTAACCGAGCGCTTGCATGGCCAACTCGACGCTGGGGAGAAGGGTTAGCTGCAATCCTAGAAACACGAGCATCAGAAGCGAGCAAAGGAAAAGGTAGACATACGTCAGGAATGTTCCAGCAGAAACAGGCATAGCTCTCAGCAGAGTAGGGCCAATACCCTTCCAGAAACCACCGAGGCCCTCAATGGCATAGGTCTTCTTGAAGCAGTCGCGCATGGTGCTGAACTTTTGCTCCGCACCGAATCCATCTGTCTGCATCTTACTCTTGATAACGTCGAACGGGTAGCTGGAGAGCCAGAGGACCTCACCAGCCAGACCACCGTAAATGGCAATCTTTGCCTTGGACATATCCTCACGCTTGATGTTGTTACGCTTAGCATCCTGGTTCATCATGTACTCAAAGGCCATGAACCAGGCGCCGTAAGCCTGGGCCTCACGGAGGAGAGTAACTGCCTGGCCGCGGTAAATACCGCGGAGGGCACCACCCTGTGCGGCCAGCTTGCTCACGCAGTCGATAGGGCCTGAGTACAGACGGCCGGCGCCGTGCGGCTGTGCCTGCAGGCGAATACGCACATGCTCAATTGGGCCCGACAGAACGGAGTTGGTGAGACCGGCGAATGAACCGGCCATGTAGTACTGGGTGTAAGAAAGGGCCGAGTTGGCGTATTTCTTCTTGTTCAGCTCTTCCAAGCGGCGACGTGCCTCGTGGTAGGCACCGAATTGGACAGACACCTGAATTGGTTAGAGGATTTGTCTATAGTGGACCTTGGCCGCGGGGAGCAACTCACGCAAGCACCGATACCGATAAGCGGGGTCAGGGTGCCCTTATAGAAGGCAGTGGGACCTTCCTTCTTGAAGATCTGGGTTGCGCACTCTAGCGCACTCTTGTACTGAGTGGTAGTTTGCAGGCGCACCTTGACGATGTCTGCCGAATTATTAACCAATGCCTCCTGGGAAGTGCTTTTAGGCAGATCACATACCAAAGGGTTGACCTAATTTCTTGTTAGCAATTGCTTTGGTTTACATGTTTGAATATTTTTCCAGGCACTGCTCATGGCAAGGTTTTCATCTCATGATGTCCATGGTTCTCCCCGGAATTCAAACAAAGTAGGGTGCACACATACCGAGCATAACCTGGGCCATTCCACCCACTGCGCCCGCGGTCAAATCCTTGATGGTGCGGAGGGCACCGTTGCCCTTATCGATACTGTCAATTACCTCAGTCTCCATGTTTCAAAGGATTCAATCGCAACTAAAAGTATAGACAGGGACACAATCCGGAGACTCCAGACTTTATATCCAGCCCGCTTATCGCTATGGCGCCATCTGCCCTTCTGATTCGACGAGAATCCCGAAGCACGTGACTTTACCGGCGGACATTTTACATAAGCGTTTTGGTACCTATAGCTGACATAAGCAGTGACATAAGCTCCTCTTCTCGATCTTCTGGAAAGGGAAAAAAGTTGACGGATCCAGATGTGGATAGACCAGTGAATGATGCATCGTCGGCCAATCTGCAGGGTAAGTTCGCAGTTGTTAAGTGCCGCAACAGTTTCTAACTAAATCTACAGCTATCGCGTCGAGCTGAGTGGTCGAATTTAGCCTACCGAGCACCGACTTTAACAGCTCTCACAGCCCGACGGACTATACGGTTGTCCGCGACACGTTGGAACTCGTCGGGTCCATCAAATGAGAATGAGGATGGCACTGCTTCAAACCCGGCGCCGACGAAGCCCAAGTTCGGTAGCCGATGGGGCTCTAAACAAGCTACACCATCGGCGGGCTTGAGTTTCGCAGAACAGGCGATGCGCCAAACCCTTGTCGCCAATAACCAACCCCCGCCGCCAGCACCTGCACCAACGCAACGTAGGCAGGAACAGTCAAATCAACAATGGAACTCAGGGCAATCAAACCAGCAGAGGAAACCGTACGCCCGGCGCGTGGGTCCTAGGGATAATCAAGATGCCCACACGATGGGATCGAGAGAAACGCCACGGAATCAGAGGAGGAGCCCGTTCGGCCAAGAGAAGAATCCATTTAAAGAAGAGAATACAGGGAGCTACACGAGGTGGCCCAAAAGGACCCTCGCGGAATCAGGAGAGGAATCCGTTTTCCAGAGGAACGAAACCGGCGTTTGAAGAAGAAAATCCATTCGCTCCTGAAAAGACACAAAACAGATTCCGGGGCCAATTCCAGAACAGGGCGACTAGGGACCATCCAATGGCCCACAATGACTGGAAATGCCCTGAGTGCATGAAACATGTTTTTGCCTCAAAGCAAGTGTGTCCATTCTGCAAAACCTCTCGACCTAGCGACGCCCAGCCAAAGTTCCGAATAACCAGAGAGTATAGCGATTCTCCTGGGCTTTCACAATTCAAACAGTCCCGATCCCCTTCTGGGTATACTAGCAAGTTCCAGCAATTAGGGGAGTCAGTTTTGTCTGACTTGGAACAAGACGTTCAGCCGAATACAACAGAAACCACAGAGCGCGATTCAGAGAAATCCGACCGACCCCGAACAAAGGAGGAAGCAGAAGATTTCAAGAAGAACCAATGGTCTTGGGATATGTCTGCACTGGAGCAGCTAGAAAATCTAGAGGAACAAGAACAGCCGCCGCCGCCGCCGAAGCCTATGAAGCGCCGTGAGGGACGCAAGGGACGTGAGAGCGAGTCTGATGGGGCGGATTTTGACTCGGAAGATCGTGAGCGCCTCCGCATAGAGCGGAGACGTCAGCAGAAAGAAAAGAACGCCCAAAGGGCTGCAAAGAAGGCCGCCGCGCTGGCAGCACCAGCTCCTCTTTACCTGCCCGAATTCATCAGTGTTAGCAACTTGGCCGATGTCATTGGCGTGCGGCCGGCGCAGTTTGTGCAGCGAATGGAGGACATGGGCTTCGAGGAAATCACGTATAGGGATATCCTCGATGCAGAAACTGCCGGATTGGTGGCAGCCGAGTTCAACTACGAGGCCATCTTTGACAGCGGCAAAGCAGATCTACACGCTGCTCCTGAGCTAGAGGACACATCTGGCCTGCCATCTCGGCCGCCTGTGGTCACTATTATGGGTCATGTTGATCACGGCAAAACCACGATCCTGGATTGGCTGCGCAAGTCATCTGTGGCAGCGTCTGAACATGGTGGTATCACCCAGCATATTGGTGCATTCTCCGTGATGATGCCTTCAGGAAAAGCCATTACCTTCCTTGATACTCCGGGCCATTCTGCATTTTTGGAGATGCGTCGCCGCGGTGCCGATGTGACCGATATTGTGGTGCTTGTGGTTGCTGCTGACGACAGTGTCAAGCCGCAAACTATCGAGGCCATCAAGCACGCCACTCAAGCTAAGGTTCCTGTCATTGTCGCCATCAGCAAAATCGATAAAGAGGGCAACAACCCTGATCGAGTCAAGGGTGACCTTTCTGTTCATGGTATCCACGTGGAGGACTACGGAGGTGACGTCCAGGCTATCGGCGTCAGCGGCAAAACTGGACAAGGAATGGTTGAACTGGAAGAAGCCATCGTCGCGCTCTCAGAGATGCTCGACCACCGCGCATCCACCACCTGTAACGTCGAGGGCTGGGTCATCGAGGCCTCTACAAAAAGTTATGGCCGCGTAGCATCCGCCCTGATTCGACGTGGAACCCTGCGGTCAGGCGATATCATTGTTGCCGGTACCGCGTGGGCTCGTGTCCGCACCCTCCGCAATGAAGCCGGCGTGGCCATCAGTGAAGCCACGCCTGGAATGCCCGTTGAAATCGATGGTTGGAGAGAGCAACCAGGTGCTGGCACCGAGCTCCTGCAGGCGCCGACCGAGCAGAAAGCTAAGGACGTTGTCGATTACCGCTTGGAGAAGTCTGATACCCAGAAGATGGGTATCGATATGGTTGCTATCAATGAGGCTCGTCGTGAACTCCTCGAGAAGCGCAGGCGCGAGAACGAAGACGAAGAAACAACAAAGGAAGTCGAACCAACTGGCCCCAAGTCGGTCAATTTCATCCTGAAGGGTGATGTGGACGGTTCAGTGGAGGCGGTCTTGAACTCCGTTGCAGCAGTCGGTAACAACGAAGTCTTCGCCAATATCATCCGTTCAGGTGTTGGTCCTGTCAGTGAATTCGATATCGAACATGCTGGCAGTGCCAAGGGCAAGATCATCTCATTCAACCAGGCCATTGATCCTAATATCATGCGTATCGCAGAGGCGGAGGGCGTCGATATTCTGGACCACAACATCATCTACAAACTGATCGATGACATCAAGGCTATCCTCAGTGAGAAGCTGCCTCCAACTATCACTACGCGCGTGACCGGAGAAGCCGAGATCCAGCAGGTCTTCGAGATCACTGTCAAGGGACGTGAAAAGACAGCCATTGCTGGAAGTCGTGTGCGTAATGGTCTGATCAATAAAACTCGCAAGGTCAGGGTACTTCGCGGGAGGAGATAGTCTACGATGGTAAGCATATCACAAGCAGCTCAACACGAATAACTTGGACCAAACTAACTTTCCGCAACAGGCGCAATGGTCTCCCTCAAGAACGTCAAGAAAGACGTCATCGAAATGCGCAAAGACACAGAATGTGGTATCGCTTTCGAAAACTGGACAGGTTTCGCACCTGGTGACCATGTCCAGTGCTACGAAGAGATCTCTGAGAAGCGCTATCTGTGAGATACTCGTCCCGTGATCTCAAGGTCTGCGCGGTCGTGATAACCGCTTGTATTATTTGTCTGGGATCATTCTAACACTCTCCATTCCCCTCATGATCATCATTCAAATTTTGTATTATATTTTCATTCCTCTCGACATGGTTGACTTGCATTTAGGGTCTGGGCGTTGTTGCATCCCTAGGTACTAGGGACCGGAGGAAAAGCATACAATCAATGTAATTATGGAGGGTGCTGCTGTCGCAGCACATGTGTAAATGCTCAAATATCATGGCCGAATGGTCACATTGTTATTCACTTGTTTTCTATAGAACAAGAATACTGATGTAGGACTTTAACATGCTGTAACGGCCGCTTTGCTTGACTCGTGAGGAACTGCCGAAGTCGAATTCACGTACACAGCTGACTCAAGATGACGAGAGATTCAAATCCAAGTCCTTTGATGTGTTCAGATTTCGATGATGAAATATATAATATCCGTTCATGACCCAACGCGCTAGAAGCCCCCTCGCCTTCCCATACCAGAGTAATGCACACGAATTGTTAGGGGAAAGAACAAGACCAAGATGCTCGAAACGCTACAGCTGATGCAAAACACCACCAGCTTCCGCAAACTTCTGCTGGTACTCCTTTAAACTCGCCCACTGGCTCAACTCTTCTTGATCCCGCTCATAATCACTCAGATAGCTCATAGCGCGGCCGTTCATCTGCGGACTGACTCCGTCGGCAGAATTGGCTGTATCACTCATGGGAGAATGGCATTCTAGTCGGACAAGTGTCTCGATGAATGCGTGCAAGTAGGACTCCGCCTCTGCGGCGGTGAGGATGTGGAGGCCTGGCGGCGCGGTCGTTGGTGATGGTGATGGTGCGGCAGCAGCTGTGAGGGTTGGGATTTCGGTGTTGGATTGATTTGGCTTGTGGGAGAGGCTGAGGAGGGTGGATGCTACTTGGCGGATTTTATTGGTCTGTAAACAGGGTCCTTTCGTTAGTTTGATTTATGATAGGGTGTGATGTTTTGAGTAAGGGAACGTACAATGCTGGCACCGTTCGGCTCCATGTTCACTTCGTTCACTGTTCGTAATAACACGAAAAGATCTTTGATGACCAGTTTGCGCTCTTCAGCCATCAGGCGGCCAATATAGTCTGTTTCGGCATGGTGTTGGGCTTGGGTGCTGGTTTCCGACGAAGCTGTACCAGTCGGAGTCGCACTCGCACTTGCACTTGGTATTGAATCGGGCCTTCCTTCCATTTTAATATGTGGCGTGGTGCTGCCCGGGGCCGTGAATTTAGGTGACTTTCCGTACTTTGAAAACGTCTCGAAAAGGCTCCAGTACTTCTCCACCAGAAAGGACCTGGTGCATAGCTGACTAGCATAGATATTCGCTTTCTGGATCTCATACTGTATAGCACGTCGTTCTTGGTGGATATGATCATTTGAGTAACTGAAAATTGTATCATCTCCGCCAAGACCTGACAAACCCGCTGGGGATACGTGTTTCGGATGGTGTAGGGACAACTCGGCGGGAACATCGATTAGTGCAGATTTGGCTCGCTTGAGACAGTCCCAAATGCAGTTGCGCTGATGCTCCCAGTCAAATACTTGACCGCTGCCAAACGCTATTTCCCAAGCTAGCAGGGTGGTATATGAGCTGTAGACGCGGACATTTGCGTTGAACCCGACTAGCCGTGAAACTCGGTCGGATGGCTGCGGCTCAACATGTGTTGAGAACAAAAATTCATCATCGATCTCCAGCGGGAGTGGTGGATACCGGTCCGTTGGCGTCTCTGGAGGAACATGAACCTTGATATCTGAAGAGCCCATCTGGTGTAATGTCTGATATCCGACAAAGGTGACATAAAACAGACGCCGACCAAGCTCTTGAGTGATGAGGTCCACGCCTTGGCTTTCAGTGAAATTATGTGCTGGTGAATCCTGCACCGTTACAGAGGCGGGTGACAGTGGGCTGAGGGGTCCTAATGTCGAGGACGGGCGATTGGTGGTGGTCGGAGACCGGCATAAATCATAAACTTGCAGCATGGCTCGGCATTCTGACAGGTACACACGGCATCGGCGCATGTTATAGATATACCCGGCACATATAGCAAGGAAATAGCTGATCGCCGCGTCGTAGACTGTGGCGTTGCGATCAAGATATCCGGTCCCGCGGGCTTGGATCGCAACGTCAAGGCACCGCTTTACGAGAGCTATAGAATTGGGGAAAGCGGTGCGCTCGGCTTCAGTGTTGAGTCGGAGTTTAGGTCGCCGAGGGAAGGAAGCCACTAGCAGTCCAATCATTGACGCCAAAAGTGCCAAAAATGTGTGGTTGGTTACGTCTTCCCGGCGCTCAAAGGCTGCTCGAAAAGAAGGCTCATGTGGAATTGGCACCAAAGGATGGATGTAAGTGAAAAAGTCATCAAGCAACATCTGCATCGTGTGCAAAGAACAAATCGATTCTACCGAAAGGGAGACCGATGCAGATTGAGGGTTGGTGAGTGGCGTTGCCAGGGGAGTCGCTGCCGACGGATAGTCTGCAGGGCTCAGCGACGCTGTATCTTCAGGTTCCCGCTTTTGTTTCTTAAAAGCCTCTGCATGGCGGTTAGGAGGCCCGCGGCGTCTGCTTGGTCTTTCATAGGTGCAGGGAATATCCAAGCTAGCGCACGACCGACAAGGTGGCCCACCGGTATCACACTTGCATGGAAATTAGTATTTCCCCGCATACCATGACAAAAGAACCATACCTTCACTTTCCGAATACTACAGGCATCGCAGGCCTTGCGCAGCCTTGTTTTAAGGTCCATCGATGAGCAAATTGCCGGGATGACCACGCCTCGAACCGTCAGGTCATGTTTAATCGGCCCAAAGACAGTCAGTACATCCGGACTCCAGGGTTGACTATCAACCGGAAGAATGCCGAAATCCGAGTCCCGAAAGTCGGAATGGGCCAGGAACTTTAAAGCTGAAGCTCTGGAAGCTTTGGAAATCTCGGGAAAAGGTTCGAAGTCCGGGGGGGGTCACACTTCCGGATTGCTAAGCGGGTCAAACCCTCAAAGGGCTTTAGGAAGTCTGGGGTACTTGAACCCTGTCGAGATAACTATGAAAGGGAAAAAAAAAAAAGATACCTATGATGTTTCGCTCTCAAGGAATGATTCCGAGGATTATAATGTGAATACCTTCGTAAAAGAAAAAAATACGCCTCAGACGGTGGTGCAGTCACGTGCCACTCGTAATTAAGAAGAAGGCGTCTTTACATTAATTAATCAGGCAGAGGGAATTACGATTAGATTTGACAAGAACCATTGGAGTATGATAGTCTCCTCCCTATTGGCACAGAACAAGAGTGAATCAGGAAGCAGAAATGGAAAATTAGATGCAATTTGGAGTAACCGTAGTCATCCGAAAGAGGTATATCCGTACACAGGTCATGGCATAATATCGTCACGGTATTGCTCACCCAGTCGACTAGACTGCTGATTAATAGCTCGTCGCTTGCGTTCGATATCCGTCACCCAAAGTGCCGACCCAGCAGCCGTGGTCATCAAAAATAGCATAGAAAAAGGAGGAATCAGTTGAAGGACCAGAGCCACCGTCCCAAAGCTAGAGTGCGTTAGATCACATATCAACAAATAAAACGAACATGACTTACGTAGTGTACTGCAGCTGACGCCGACTAATACTTTCCTTTCTCTGCTGCTTGGTCATGTCCAGTAGATGGAAGTAACGCCAATGATGGAAGGGACCGGCACGATAGCCAGTCAAAAGTAGGAACATAGGAGTGCCGGCCACCGGAATAAAGATAAGCGGAAGCAAAATGATAAACTCAACGATCTGCCGCAACGAGAATGGAGAATACACGGCACTAGTGGTCGGCGTGCCGAGACGCTTGGCCGGGTTGCCGGGCTCGGGATAAATGACCCGCGAAGTGGTAACAAGTTCCTCCTGGCCCTCATTCACCAACACTGCATCGAATATATCCACTAGAGTCTCATCGACGAAGAATGCCTCGAAGAGTGCGGCAACAATCGCAGCTCCTTCACCAAGCACGAGGAATGCGCCGCTCACCCATGCTGAGCTGCCCTGGAAGATAGCAAGGAAGGCAACCTGGGGCAGGTATGTGAAAAAGAAGAGGATGAAGTATATGAAGGATGAGAGGAGGACGATGGGGACAAGGCGGGCCTTAAAGAGAGGCCATAGGAACCGATTCGACGCAAAATAGTAGATTCCCTATCTAGGTTAGTCCTGAAGCTTTGGAAAGCACATTATAACATACCCGAAGGGGATATAGCCAAGCAGCTCGGCTGGGATCCAGGAGTCGCGACATAGGGTGCAGGTTCACAGCTTCAAAGAATATCTGCCAACGGCGATGGACAAGTTCGAAAGCAGGCAGCACCTTATCGATAAGCTCCCACGTGATCCACGGATATCAGCCGAGATGACTAAGCCAGTACTATTTCACCCTGAATTTTTTCGCCGAGCGCCCTTTTCCTTTTCTTCTTCACATAAACTGAATTCCTCCCTATTCACTCTGAACTTTTGTTACAATCACTGTTCTGGAGGGGAAATGGGAGGAAAGACCAAATCCGCTGGCTTACCCCAAACTCTTCTACTCAAGTGTGGAGCGTTTGGAATATATTCAGCTGTACATTCCTCTTCAAGCCTCTCTTGGTGTTTGGAGCCTCAATTCGAAGTTCAATGGTAGATGTCCTGGCTTAAATCTGATGGCGATTAATCTCGTTCACAATATGCTTCAGATCGTGTACAATGGCCGTCGGCTGTAGATCTGGAGCCACGGCATCCTTCCATCCTGCACCAACACGGTCAACCCATATAGCTTGCATGCCTGTAGCGCGCGCCCCGACAATGTCGAAAGGGTTGCCGCTGATCAGCCAAAGTTTGCTCATCTGCGATGGGTCTTGGCCTGTCTGCTTCGCTAGGTGCTCGTAGCTTGCCTTCGATGGCTTATATTGCTGGACTTCGTCTACGGTGACGATATCTTGGAAGACACTCGCGTGCGGAGAAAGGTCCTTGGACCGCAACACCGAGTTGGATACCATAATTTTCGTCCCGTTGGAGAATATCACAGCTTGGATGCTTGGATCTGCAGCTATCTGGGTCAAGGCTGGATTCACATCAGAGAATGTAGAGAGATTGTTGTAAGCTTGCATCAAGTGTTCGATATTGTCGTCGCTCAGCTGTTCGTTGTTGTCGGCCAGCGCGTGCAATAAAGAACTCCGTGTGACTTTAGAGAAGTCTTCATAGCGGCCTTTTGATCGTTAATATTTTGGACGTCCAAGATTGGAGGTGTGGCTTGCCCATGCTATTCAATCTCCATGTGTACTCCAGTTGATACCGCCTCCAGAGTGCGGAGATCGACTTTGCCTTGGCATTGTCACAATGTTTCTCTAGTTGTTTGGCGATCGACTCAGTTGAGAGTAAGGTGCCATATAAATCAAAAGCGACAACTGTCTTGGCTGTCATAATGTTTCATAAATCTCGAGGTCAAAGACAACAAAGTTGGAAGCCTTGAAAAATGGGCTTGAAGAATGATGTCAATCTGCCGTGGGGCAAAACAGACTTGACTCATCCGACATTTCCTCCGGACTAAGCTGTAGGGCCAAGCTTTTCTCCTCTCACCAAGTCTCAATGACGTCCGGTGAGAACTATGCTGTGTTCCGCGAATGTTTGTCTAATGCCATCGTGGCCCGCTCTGAGGAAAAGCCAAAGCCAACGCGACGGAAGCCAAAAGTCAAGCGCACCGAGCGCAAAGATGTAAAAACAGCGACAACACTTTCAACCGGGAGAGCAGACCCGGAAGAGCTGGCCGAATTTGTTGATGTACATGCACCCGGCCAGTTCAGCCCAGCGCAAAGCAACCAGCACTCAGGCCCAACAAAACCTACACACCACAGCCAACAACTAACGAGACCCAAAGCTAACAGCCCCAGTTCCTAGCCTCAGAAACCTTCGCCATTTTCCCAACCCCACTCCAAACCCTAAGCTACGCAGCCATCCAGCACGATCCAGGCCTATCAGCCCTCTACATTCCCCAGACACCGACACACCCCTCCCACGCGCCACGCTCGAAACCCTATTCTCCCCAATCCCAGTTAGCGTAACCGACTCGCTACTCGTGTACGGCATAATTCCCGACACAGCGGACCTGGTGGACTTTCTCGCCCCCGTGCTGACAGAATACATCTCGAGCGTGACGACTGGCCCGCCGGCATGGGCGAGCACGCGCGCGGACGCGTGCGAGATCTGCGAGCGTGACTGGATTCCGCTATCGTATCACCATTTGATTCCGCGCGGGGTACATGCGAAGGTCATTAAGAAGGGGTGGCATGATGAGTGGATGTTGAATAGTGTGGCGTGGCTTTGTCGCGCTTGTCATAGCTTTGTGCATCGCATGGCAAGTAATGAGGAGCTGGCTAGGGAGTGGTTTACTGTTGAGAGGATCTGTGAGAGGGAGGATGTGCAGGACTGGGCTAAGTGGGTTGGGAGGGTTAGGTGGAAGGCGAGGTAGGGGTGGTTGAGATCTATATGAGTCTAAATTGGCAATGATTTTCGAGGTTCGTGTTGGCTATACAATAGCAAAATGTACACATGTACATCGCGAAGGGACTGGCAGGGGTTAGAACTTGTTGCTTTATGGCTCAGCCTGAATATAGCTTCCTAATATTAACTTGTAGTTATAAGAATGTTTCATATAGATTGTTAGAAAAACAGAGAAAATAGTCTGCGAAAGAAAGCCTCCATACATGATTAAAATGATAAAATGGCCCAAATCTTACAGTTAACCCCGAGTAACAGTGGCAGTAACAGTCTCAGTAATGCGATCTGTCACCGTCTTGGTCTCGGTCTCAGTTTCAGTGATCGTGATGAAGCCAGGCGGCGTAACCGGGTTTACAGTAAGTATGCCTTGGCGTGGTTTAGAAGTTGTGGTAGCGATATTGGCATCCACAGCAGATGTAGGATCTGCTGGATGTGTAGTTTCCGCTGCTCGGTTAGCAGTCGACCCATGGGAGGTCACGAGAAGTGTTTTTGTGGAAGTGACGTGGACTGTTACAACCGGAGCAGTCTCACTCAGGGAGGACAACAATGGAGCAGATGGCGATGTCGTCGAGTAAACGGTCACCGGAACAACACTTGTGGAAGTGACACGGACTGTCACTATAGAAGCAGCTTCACTTGAGGACGGCGGTGATGTAGCCGGGTAAACAGTCAAAGGAACAACACTCGTGGAGGTGACGTGAGCTGTCACCACAGGAGCAATCTCACTAGAAGAGGACAACAACAAAGACGAAGAAGAAAGTGATTGTGTTGCCGAGTTTACGGTCGTGGGGTCAATTGGCGCTGCATTCACACTCGGAGCGCTCCCGGCTGAGGACGACAAGACCGAATACGAAGAAGCAGATGATGATGATGATGGGTAAACAGTCACACGAACGACCGACGTTGCAGTGGAATGGATGGTCACAAACATCAAAGATGTAATTGTTGGTTCAACGGACGGTTTTACCGTTGGCTCTGCTGACGACACCGGTGAGTTGTTCACACTGGGTGTGTGGTGGATGACGCTTGTCGAGAAGGGCTTTGGTGCTCCTTTGGTCACATATACGATCACAGGCTCGGTTACGGTCACAACTGGCTTGGAGCTTGACTTGGAAATCTGCTGTAGTGGTGTAGATTGTGCCTGCGTAGCCTTCGCTGGCTGGATATGATTGGAGGTTGGAATAACCGGTGTGGACGTGGAAGAACTGCTGCTACTTGCTTCTCCTATGGGTGCAATAGCTCCAACAGCTGGACTGCTACTTGTGGGCACTGTAGGCACCGGTGTTGTCGTTGGCTGTATGCTCGTAGAGGTCGAGGCCAGCGGTGTGGCTGTGGTAGCTTTGATGCTGGTTGCTCCACCTAGAAGCGAAGCCGACGAAGATTGGGCTGAACTCGGTATCACCAAGGAGCCGAGGGAAGATGTTGAGCTTGGACCATGGACAGGTAATGAACTAGTTATGGGCGATGAATGCAGCATTCCCGGGGTTGTGGATGAGGATATGGATAGCCGAGTCGTAGTGGATGCATGAGAGGTGGTGGTTGACCTTTTAGTTGTAGCTTGCTCCTGAGTTGTAGTTGGCTTTGGAGTTGTAGTTGGCTTTGGAGTTGTAGTTGGCTTTGGAGTTGTAGTTGGCTTTGGAGTTGTAGTTGGCTTTGGAGTTGTAGTTGGCTCTTGAGTTGTAGTAGGCTCTTGCGTTGTAGTTGGCTTTGGCGTTGTAGTTGGCTCTTGAGTTGTAGCTGGCTCTTGAGTTGTAGTTGGCTCTTGAGTTGTAGTTGGCTTTGGGGTTGTAATTGGCTCTGGAGCTGTAGCCATCTTCGGCATTGTAGTTGGCGTCTGACTAGTGGTTGTCTTACGAGTTGTAGTTGACACACGGGATGTAGTTGACTTCGGAGAGATGGTTAGCTTGGTTGGCTTAATAGTCTAGAAAAGGGTAAAGTACTATTGGCTCCACGGGCGTAAACGGTAGCTGTGTAGGTGCCGCCACAGGAGTGATTGCAGTGATACCGCCAGGTTCACGCCGTTCGATATCAGGCAATAAGGGGAGAGAAGTCGGCCCAGTTGACTCCAATGACGGATACAGCCAGCGAAAAATCGGACCAGCCGAAGCCATCCATGGCAAAAGAAGGAGCAAAAAGAACTGAAAGCGAAGCATCCTGATTTAGAAACGAGAGTGTTGGAAGTGATCGCTGACGACTTCGACAAACTGGGACAGTAAAGAAAATTGGGTGCTCAGTCAAAGATATATTAGAGCAACTGAATAGGACAAACAAAATCACACATATAATAAAGCATGACCAAAGAAAATAAGTAATTAATAGGGATGAATACAAGACCTGGGAGGCGTCTTGATGGCTTGCAAATGAAAGAATGGCCGGATCACTAGGGACCACAAAAACGAAGGGGAACAAAAGAATGGGGCAAGATGAAGCAACCTGAGACTTTAACAGAACAGAGATTTTTCTTTCAAATCCCTCGCCATCGAGGCCTGGCTGGTATATCTGCACCTTGGGGTTTCATAAGGGGCCGAGATAGGTTTAGGGCTTCCTGTCAGCCGCCCATTGTTCCGACCTTGGCAGCTTTTCCATAAACAAAGTCCGAAATAATTCAGTGTCCCAAATGGAAGCGCCATTGCAAGGGGCTCTTTGTGGGACCGAATTTCATGCTAGAAATAGATCGCGCGACAAAGAGACGTTGCAGTAGGCGCCCAGGCCTGGTCGATGGCGCGTGCTGATTGGCCAGCTGCAGGCGCAGGACCACTTTATTATCACATTGAGGACTCCTTGTTGACATATGGACCGGATGGATTTCTAGACCCAGAGTGTCTGAGTCATTTGCGACATGTACGGGCGCGTAAGTGAAGATATAATTACTGTGGCCTGGGTGCTAGCACCCCGTCGTACACTAGCAATTAGATTATTTGACACCGTTTATTCAACCTGTCACCACTCCAAAACCACTATATTCTAGATCAGTCAGACTATGGAGTCTTCACTGTGAAAGTCCCACTAATACCCTCGAATGGTGAGATCTGGCCAAGAGGATTCTTTGAGTCTCCATAATAATGCATCCGATAGGTCCCAGCCTGCAGGGGGACGTAGTGTCAACACTATAATACTCATCCTCAATCTCCCATTCAATTGTCACCTCACTGTGGCCAAGAATTTCATTGGTCCGCTCCCACGTGAAGACCAAATTCCAGTCACGGTCATTGCGCACAACCTCCCATCTGCCAGAATCGCTTTTTCTTTCAACCGCAGCGTAGGTCGATTCGAGGTGCAGATTGTTGCGCGGATTGGCACCCACAAAGGTCGTCTTCACAATATCTCCGGGGCCATAGGGTCCATTCCCTGGATTTGAAGTCACATTTCCAAAATGCTTGCCAATGGGCGCTCCATCATACACAACCCCTGCAATGAAGCTCAATGAACGGTTGGTGTTGATCGGTGGGCTGGGGCCGGGTTGAATGGCTGGAAGTTTGGCAACTTCTAACGAGCTTCCCAAATATGGCAAGTAAGTGAGGGTCAAATTGACATAGGCTGCCAATGTGTTTGGGCCGTAGAGAGTGGACCCGCCCTCGTAGCGCTGAGCGCCGTACTCTTCCTCTGTTGTCACGTAGTGAGCGTAACTGTTCGATGGGGCTCCGAGTACCACTAGAGGATCGGAAACAGAAAGGTAGTCCTTTGCTCCTTTTGCAATAGCCTCCTTCCAGCGTCGCCCAGACATCGTGGTAGCTTCGCTGGTGGATATAATGAGGAACAGCTGACCCACTCGCAAGACCTGGATGTCAATAATATCCGCGGCCCATGCATAAGGTTCAGTTAGAGTGCCGATATCCAATAGCACGTTCTTGGGACTTTGGCACTGTTGCTGCTCCTTGCTGGGCTGGTGAATAACAGCACGCGCAACTTTCCACAGGGGGTTGCGTCCAGCTGGACCAGTAGCATTCTGGGTAAAGTCAAAGGCACCAGGTCCGTCAGTAGTTCCAGCGGCAAACGAGTACCCCAGAGCCGCAGGACAAGTCGTCAGCGTACTAGTGTTGAACGGCGATGGGAAAGTGTAGCCATTCATGTCTTGGTACACATGGAAAGACTTCACGGCTGAACCTCCAGTGATTTTGATAGGGGTGGTATCCATTTCTTCGTAAAGCTTTTTTGCTGCTGAATACTGGCGGCGCCCAATCTCGAAGCAGCTCTTCGCTCCGTTGTCTTTCTCACGGAAGAAAGGACCTCGACCATGGCAATCCTCGTTTCTGCCACCGCAAGTGCTATCTTCATATCGACACATATCTCCGGAGCCATCTTCGCACCAAGCTCCCAGGATATTGGGGGATGTGTCCCCGACATTCGCTTGGGAGAATCCAATTACGGCATCGTCAGTGAACCTCGCATCGCCATCGACGCTGCGCTCGAAGAGGTAAGCTGCAACACCTTTGTTATCGCCACTGACCAGAGTGTTGTTGTTGTACATAGATGTGCCATGGACAGGGAACCAAGTTAGGATAGCCGCTGTTTTGTTGTCAGATTCGCGGTCAAACCGAATGAGAGAGAGCGATTTTTCAACATTGGCAGAATACCTCGCTCGTTCCTCCTCGGGGTTATGCTCGTAGGAAAAGGGACTGCGATTGATATTGGTGTCTTCCAGGTCGATGGATCCAAAAGAGAGCCGACCCGGCGCCAAGTTCTCATGGGCACGGATGATTGATAGAATAGTGCCATCGACAATGGCTTGATAGCTTTGTTTGTCGAAGCCTAGCGCCGGGATCTGAGGCAACAAGTAGTTCATCCACGCTCCAGGCCCGGAGTGCGAATGTGTCCCCGTCATTGCGACGTTGTGTTCGCCGTACCGTGCATACTTCCCACCGAGCGCAGTGAGACCCTCCAGCACCCCACGTCGCACGGCCGTGTCACCCGTAAGTGTATCGAGAACCAGGTACACAAAGGTTTCATCTGGCTTATTTGGGTCTGCGAAGATGAAGGCGCGAGAATACAATCTCTGCTTTAGACCCGCGCCTAGTTGGTCCAAGCTGGCATAGCCAGCGAGAGCAATCTCCACAACGGGCCTAGTAACCATATTAGCCAATTTAGTACATGGATATGTCGAAGTTTAAAGCATAAACATACCCAGTCACGTCTGCCTTGCCCGCTCCGACCAAAAAGATATCATCAGCTGCCGCCACGCTCGCTCTACTTTTCCACTGGTTGAAGTTTGAACTAAAGCTAGGCAAAGGCGACTGTGACTGGCTATCGAGCTTGAATACCGCAATCAGCTGAAAAAACACCAGCACTGAAAGAGTCACCCCAGCAAAAGTAACGCCCATGCGAAAGTTAGTCATTATTGTGAGTGCTTGCCAATATATCACAAGTGATATAGAGTTAGTACATCTGCAGAAAAGACGCGCTGAGTGACTGTAGCCCTTGAAAAGTCGAAATCTCCCAGGGAGATACAGGTTCTTATACAAGTGCACTAGTCGGGAATACAGTGGGAAAACGAACGAGCTACCTGCGAGTGCAGAAGATCATTGCCCAAGTACTCCCAAGGCTGGGAAAGAAGCCGATCATTAGATGCATGAAGTACTAGGTGACATTCGTCTAAGCGATGTACATGGGTCATCCATTCCAAGGTTGAATTCCGCACACCCAAAAGGGAATAGACTTTTGCTGTCCCCGCACAATGAGATTGTGCTCGTGTGCTGACTGCACATGTGAGGACTGGATTGCCTCAATTTGTAGCCAGTCGGTGAGCTGGGAACTCGCCTTAGTACTCAGGTACCTCGCGTAAAAACAATCCAAAACAGATAGGATCATCGTTGCAGTTGGGAGAGCATTGTAGAGAACAATGCCATTCGCCAGGCATTTCCCCGGACTCCCAAACCCTGGTTTTTGCTGCAGCAACATATACATATCCCATGACTCGAATTATGCTTGGATGCATTCATATATATTAATTACCCTACAAATCGGGTACACTCTTCCTCTTGTTTGTTTCTGCATATAAGAGTCGAGGTCACGTGGAGCTGGGTTAACACTAGCTGAGTCAGCGGCGCTCATCTACAGTGCTCGCCGCCTTCCTCACCGCCTTCATGTAGCAATGGTTCTCAGATTAATCTACTGGTCTTCACCTTTGACATCCGTACAAGAACATCACTCAAAATGCCATTAATCAACGAATCTCATGACTCACTGCCATGTATGTCCTCAGAGTGGTCAATAGACCTGCATTTAGAACCCAACCGCTAACCTTCTAAGATATCGACGCGGCGCCCACTGCATCCGCGCAAGCGCGAGCGCAGCAACTCATCAACGCAGAGCTCTCGCCGGAGCACGCCTCCGCAATGCACCCTTGGATCCCGGAAGCGCCAGAACCCAAATTCTCTCAATTTATGCAACAAGAACTTGAGCGCAAAGCGCAAGGAGCACCTCTCACAGGTGGAATCGATCTGTCCCGTTACGAAGCACCAGAGGCCCCGACTCGCACATCAGACACCGACACACCCGATCTAGACACATGGCGCCAGACTCTACAGAGAGCATATGCGTCAAGCTCGCATCTGTCCAAGCGCCACGAGAATCTTGCCCTGCTGGAAGAACATGGCAAGAACGCTTGGCTGATTGGCAATTCACAGCTTGAGGAGATACTCGGCTCTCTTGAGAAAGAGTTGGCAGAGACGAAGGAGGCTTCTGAGGAGGTGAACAAGCAGAGGAAAATCGCACAGGAGGCTAGCCAGGGTGAGATAGTCAGTCTGGAGGAGACGTGGAAGCAACGTCTCGGGGCGATTCTTGATGTTGAGGTGGCATCTGAGCAGCTGCGTATGCAGCGTCTTGACTATATGCGTCAAGTGGCTCAGCAGCAGGCTCGTTAAGGGGGGGACTCTCGTCTTGTCTGTGTACTATCTTTCTGAGAAATGGAAGCTTATCAATCTAGCGACCTTCCGCTAGCTGAGGGATTCATGTTCTTGGTTGCACAGTCTGCTTGGTGGAACGCTTGCATGGTGGAGTGCCATGTGTGCGACTTGGGGGGGGTTACCATGCCCTTGTTCCTTCGTCCATGAACACTCTGGAAAGTGGCCTATGGGTGTTGCTCTTGCTTTTGCACCGAGGACTTCTGTTCGCCCACACGGCTTATCAACACTCGGCTCTCGGTGTGTTTCGGCAAAGTGTCCCGAGGTCAGTAATCGATCTCGAATTACGACTGTCTATGGGGTCCATCAAACCTCATACCAAGCTCTAACAAAAGAAAAGCCTTTGCATCCAAATGAAGATTGGGGAATGATGAGACCTCGATATGACCTGGCACTGCTGGTCGGCTTCGGCTATTCAAACATTGGAAGTTGGAAGTTGCAGAAGATTCAATGAGTGATATCTCCTACCAGAGCCCTTTTCAAGGTTCTCTTCAAATATGATTCCATTTCACGCCACACCTTGTTCCAAGTAGAACTAAACTCCTAAAATCAAGTATAGGTTGAATTGCGCGCCATATCATGCGATAAAGGAATAACCCGGTTTCTGCTCTTATACTCATATCAAGTAGATCGTCAAACCCAAATCCTTCTCACAACACCCTCGGCGCAACCACATCAACACCGACACCCATCTTCCCGAACATTCACAGGGCCCGACTACATATTCGTCCCCGCCTCAACCCCTTCCCTCTCGGCCTTTGTATTCCAATCCACAAGCCGCCGACACAGACCCTCGAGAGTACTCAGAGGCGGGTTATATCCTAACCCACCCATCTCAGGCGGCAGCTTCGCGAGCGAATCATCAGCAAACACATGGACATTGATGATCGAAAACAGCGACGGCTGAAGTTGCGCAATATCCCCCGACAACCTCGGCAGAAACCAAGAGAGATATTTATACTGCAAGAAGGTATACAGCTCAATAAAATACGCCATAATCAACAACGGCAAGGGCTGCACATCGGGAAACGCAAGCGGCGTTTTAGACAACGTCGTGAGTAGCGTGTACAGATCACCAAATGCAATCGCCGGATTGGGGTCAGTAACGGTGAACGCCTGGCCACCAGTATTCGGGAGCTTTGAACCAGGCTCGCTCTGCTGGATCAAACGCTGTTCGTACAAGAGGTGTGCGATCGAGACGTTTTCAGCGTGTACGAAACTCTGCAGGATCGGACGAGCCCAGGTCGGACTACCTCCGTTCTGGAGATAAACACCCGTAATGATATTGTTGGCTTGGCCGCCTGTGCCATATACGCCGTTTGTAGGGCGGATACAGCCGGTGCGGAAATTTGTTGCGGGGTCGTCTGCTTCCCGGACGAGGCGCTCTGCTTCGGTTTTGGTTACAGCGTAGTTGCTGAAGAATTGGTCGTGGGTTTCGGGCAGTTTGGTGCTGTCGCTAACTACTTGGACTACGCGCTTGGGCTGGGTCGCCCACGGCGCGATCCAGAAGGTTGGCTGGTGTAGGGCGATGGAGCCTGAGGATGTCCAGATGAAGGCTGTGGCGCCGGCGGCTCTTGCTGCGTTCAGGACGTTCCGTGTGCCGTCGACGTTGACTTTGCTGCTGAGCGGTAGGAAGCTCTTGAGTCGGTCCTGGGGTCGTATTATGGCTGCGGTGTGGTAGACTGTTAGGGGGAGGTTGGTGACATTGGCAACCCATGGCTCTTCGAATGCTGTTGTTACTGCGAGCTCGTCGGTGATGTTGGTTTTGGTCCAGCCCACGCCTTTGTTAAGGACGTCCTGCTCTGGGGAGACTAGATCTAAAATACGAATGGCCTTGGGGTCCTCGCCACGTGCGAGGAGATGTGAGACTATCCATGCGCCAACTAGACCTATAGTTTGGAGAATCAGTGCATGGATTTGAAGAGCCACTTGTATCTGTACTTACCATTTCCGCCTACGATCACATATCGTCGGGATTGTTTTGGTGGCAGACTCTTAGTCACGTCAATAGGGGCTTCCACGCTCTTTTTGTAGGCTGCTTCTATTTCTTCGACTGTCCAGCGATGAGGTGATAGTTTCCGCGCCTCTTCGGGGACTATTTTCATAGCAGAGTTAACATGCCACATATAGAGAGCACCCAGCCCAACCAGGCTGGCTGCTATAAGCCACGTCATGATAGTTGGACAGTTGCAGAATACTTTTTCCAAGGTTGCAGTCCCACAGAGGGTTTTAACGGAACGTTGCAAGGGAGTACAAACAAGTTGTTTGCCATAGGGCTGTTTGAAGGTCTAAATCTAAAGCAGCCTGTTTCAGATAGGATATTCAAACATGATCTGGTCAGATTCAGATTCGTTCCAAAATTTCGGCAGGTCGCTTAGACGTTAGTTCGCTTCGGTTATGTTGAAACAAGCGGCCTGAGACCCCGTGGCCACTGAGAGCGCCTCATTTGGAGTAAAGTGTGGAATTATCAGACCCATTCCGTTTGGCACTAAAGAGATTTAGTAAATCTACTATGGTTAGATGTGTCGGCTATATAACCAAGGAATGCCTATTTTGTATCCATGGATCTGATATTAAACGGATTAAGGCTTTCGGGGATTTATAGATCACAATATGGTATGAACATGTACATATTAGTACAACATACTGTACAAGTCGGATCGGAACCTTCTGCAATGTTACATAGTTATCTATGTAGAAATATGTACTCCGTAGTTGGGATCGAAATAGACGTTCCATATTATTTTCTTTTTGCTTTTTTTTCAACCGGCTTTTTCCCGGTTCCATTGGCCCACTTTGATCTAAACGTCCCAAAATTGATATCTCCATTATATCTCGACTCCATACTCCGTACGTACTTCGTATTCCAAAGTTAAAGTATAATCGGATATGGTTTGGATGTGCTCCGTAGTTGAAATGCCAATAGAAATACCGCAACATATATTGCACCATATATGCCGGAATTGGAGGATTTGATACGGGGTATGATACAGCCCTGGAGGTTCCATAAGGGGGATGTCGGATGCCTTGGTGCCTCAGGCATCACGCCTGTAGATAGAACCCCATAGCTTCTCTCTTTCTTTCTCTCTCTCTCTCTCTCTCTTTCTCCGGTCCGTCCACCTGAATACATATAGCTTTCTCTCTATTGATTTCACACTGTATCTGTATTCCATGATAAAGTAAAGTCCTATAGTAGCCCTATTATAACGAGAATTAGTCTTTAAAATAACTACTGAGTAAAATCAGAGCTTAGTATACTCTCTGGAATACACTGCATTGGGTGGTACCAACTCGGCGTTTGGCCTCGAGTTCTTGCTTCAGTTGGATGAAGCGCCTGCATAGTCATGCGCAACTAGTTAGACTGCAACAGGTTAATTAAACTTTAATTGATTGATTGATTGATTGACCCCATTTGACAATAGAATATAGGGCTAGGTAGGATACGCCTAGCTCGCCCAGTCAAACGAAGTTAGCAACCCAAACATCCATGGCCCTAACTCCTTTCCGACCCCCCTGTATACCCTCCAAGCTCGCCTCACATGCATCCCGTGATGCAAGAACCACTGCCCGTTCCCTCTCATCACTCACAAACTCCTCTACTTCCCTTTCGAAAGAGGAAGAAAGACAAGCAGAGACTTCCCATTGCCCGTCCAGCAACCCCTCCCCACATTGCACGAGGGTTTCACCCTCTAGCTGCCATCCGGCAGCCAGAGCTAGCTCGGTAAGGCGCTTTGGCCCCAGCACGGTGCGGATGTTCGAGTCGCTGTTCTCGGATTTATGGCACTCTAGTGCTGCCTGGGCAAGCGCAGCTAATACGTGGGGCTGGGCGGAGGGGTGTGTCGCTACCAAAGACCACTCAGCAAGGAGGAGACGTCTGCTGTGCTGCTTGAGGGCGCGGAAGGTGGAAAGGATGAGCGAGGGGGAGGTGAAGTACCATAGGCAGTGGGCGAGCACTGTTGCGTCAAAGGCCTTACTTTCACTGGTGGGCGGCGAGGAAGAGGAAGAGGGGAAGGAAATGGAGGAGAGGTAGTCCAGGGGGGATTGTTGGACCCAAGTAATCCGCCCACCTAGCGGGCCTTGCGAGATGTGAGCCTGTGCTTGGCCGAGAGTATACGGGGCACCTGCAGGAGCGATTAGTCGGCTGCTTTCCGCTCACGACCCCAGGACAGGCAGCAGGGTTAGAAAAGCTAGAGGACTCACCATAATCCAATTCCGCCGGATCGACCGCGACTACTTTCCCCTGCTCGCCAACAGCATAGGCAATGACAGTCGTGCAGTCCCCTTGCCCGCATCCTAGTTCCAGCACCTTGGAGCCGGTGGGAATGTTCCAGTGCTGCAGGAGCACCAGGCGGTGCAAGGTTTGGGAGTGCTGGATGTCCAAGTGTGTGGGGTCGTGTAAGGAGACAAGGGCGATAGAGGCGGGGTCGAGTTGAGTGGACATGTTGTGTTCGATGGGTGTTGGACACAAGACGGCTGAGTGGGTTTTGCGTAGCTAGGTGATGGAACTTGGAACTATAGCCTTCATTTCAGAAACCGAAAAGATGCGGACAGGGACATCTTATATTGCCAGACTTGGAGGGTCGCCTACCGCAAAATTAATATGGGGGTAATCTACTGGGGGTTGATATTGTGACATATTCCTACTGCTGCGACAAGGCCCCCTCCCCACTCTTTCAGGCATCCACCGGAGTATTCGGATTAAGATAACTCTGGGATATTTTGCCCGCAGTTTCCTTGAAAACTTCAAGTTCTTTGTTTAGGATTGACTGTTTATGTGGGCTCGCTTGGCGTATAACCTTCGAAAAGCTTATCTGAGCGATTAAAGTTGAAATATTATCAAAAGAATAATATAAATATAAATATAAATAAATAAAAACAAAAAGATGATAGAACACTTTGAATAGCATCGCTGTTAGGTGACCCTATGTAGTGTCAATGACTCAATGGGGGACTACTCCGTAATGGTATTGAGTACATGTATGTATTGGAGTGCCTAGAGTCGCTAAAGTTTTGGGTGGGGGTTGGTATCGAGGATCTTGCGGATAGCGTCCGATAGGGTAGTTGCGGCAGGCTAATGGGGCCGAGGCTTGATCGGAATATTCCCAAACAACTACTGCCCAACTAGTAACTACCCCGCTTTTTAGATTGACCCTGTGAGCTCTTTGTATAGTCTTCTTAGAATCAGACATCCCCTTGTCTAACAGATTGGCCCTGCCCGCCAGTGTTCAACAAATAGGTCCTATTTCATGTGCGAATCCTCAGCGCAGTAGGCCGATGAGGTGATTGTACTAGGGTTACAGGTGACCACTGATTCGAAGAGTCACTAGACATACCTAGAGCCGGGATCCATTCTATGTGCCCAGGTGAACAATGAGGCTGATTAATGCAACAATGGCTATCCTGCCCCACTCATTCCCTCCTTCTCACCAACTCAAACCCAAAGCTCGGCGCTATGTCAATCTGCATGAATTCCACATGACACGCCACGCGCTGGCACCTCATTTCCACTACCAGACTCTCTGCCGCGCTGGGACAGCCGAATTCTAGTGTTGTGCTGTTCGGCTTGGCTGTGAGGTCTAGCACGCCAAGCAGCTCTCCGCGCACGGGGAGGGTCGAATAGGATACGGTATCAAAATCGAGCTCGTCCATAGTGGAAGAGACGATGGCCGAGGTAGCCACTGGTGCGATAAGCTGCCAAACTTCAATTTCCGTTATATCCCCCTTGGTTATGAGGTCCTTGGCACGCGCAGAGAACTCGGGAGGCGGCCGCCAGGAGAGTGCACAGGCGTTGACGCCGGCGGGGGATGGGGAAGCGCATAATTGTCGAGTCCTTTTCTTGCATCAGCAACTGCACACAGAGTGGTAGACATGGAGCATATGTGGATGGCTTATTGAAGAGAATGAAAAAGGAGTAAGTACGGAATACGGACCTCGACGGTAACATAGACCTGCACCCCTTGACCCCACACGGCATTCTTTAATTTCCGGCTCACACGTGCTATTCTATCTGGCCAAGCGTGGTGATAGACCTGGGGAGGTGGGATGAATTTTGCTACCCTGTCTAATCCCAGCCTAGCGTCGCCATAGGGGAGGGCCTCGAGGTCAGAGTCAGACAAAGGGTAGGCTTGGTACTTTGATAGTGTAGTGGGAAGGAGAGCGACATTCACAGCCGATAGCAGCGCTAGGGCAAAGGAGAAGTAGAGAATGAGCTTGGACAGCTGAGGGGGGCTTGGAAGGCGCGAGGCCGTTGAGGTTGTCCGAGGCTTCCAACAAGGGGGCAGAGTAGTCGTCCTCGGAGGAACGCTTCTCAAGGGTTGCGCTGGAGTCCTCGCCATCGTCGTGTAGTGAAAGAGGCGCATATTGGGAAGAGCTGGACTTTGCTTTGGAGGAGGACATCGCGAGGGCCGGTCAAAGAGAAGAGCAGAGAGGGCGCGCCGTGAGTCAATGCAAGTACCGGTAAAGAAGGCGATGGCGCCCGTACCAGGCAACCACTCAAAAAGTAATACCTGCATGACGCCTGGTACCTCTTGCTGGTCACCGCGCTCTCCAAATGATAGTAGAGTTACATTGCATTAGAAACTCCGCCCTACTGCATAGCCAAAAAGACCCCTGTGCATTCGTAATCGCGGCCAAGTGAGGTGGGGACGGGTCCATCTCTATAGCTTGCCCACATGCACTACCTGACGCCGTGCAACACGGCGACCAGCCATTTTAGAGGTGTGGCCGTGGCGGCTCCGCCGGGCAGGTAGGAAGGGTTCGAAGGGAGTTACACCGTCTAAAGATACTCCATATTGCTCTCGCTCTCTGCACCGTGCTACACTGAACCTCTGTCCACCATGCTCTCCTTTTTCACTGCAATCATCTTCTTGCTTGTCTTCATAAACCTTACATCCGCCGCGCACGCTGGCTTCCATGTCCAGTTCCCATGGATGACCCGCGGTCCAAACCCCAAGACCCGGCCAGAGATAGATTGGTACAATCCTTTCTGCAGTATTTTTCTGTCCGCCTCCGGTCTAGCAAAAGCGTAGGCTGACACAGAGAAGGGGAGATAGTGCATAACCCTCAACGATACTCCCGTCACTCCCGCAGTTTCCTCTCGTTCTCCGGCCATCCTGGGGACCTTGTGACTGCCCTCTACAGCCGACATAGAGTGCCAAGGAAGAGAGAAGATTTCCCCTACATCATCCTGAAGGATGTACCCATCCAGCCTTCGGGGCAGCTGTGTGTGAATGTCACGATACCATTTCAGACCGAGGTCGACGAGATGGGAGTCATATACTTCGAGGCGAGGGATCCCAAAACAGGGAATGTGGAACACTATGTCAGTTTCTCCAGCTTGCAAGTTGTAGAGCTGATGCTGATGCAAATATAGTGCTCCGACGTCAAGATGGCTGACATGAAGGCTCTTCCGGAGGACCATCCGGCTATGTGTGCGGCTAATAACGAGACACTTATCCCGATGCCGGATGAGTACCTGTAGATGCAGGTTGGAGAGCTGTCATGTCCTGCAATTATCATGTGTGATTCGCTTCTAAATGTGTAACGCTGTGCCACTCTCTCACCTTAACGTACAATGACTCAATGCAACGGCACTATAGCAACTTGAAATGAAGCAGATATCCAGCCTGCTAGCTCCTATTTGTTTCCATCAAATGCAGAATAATGATCGTAGTGCTTAGTGCTACTACTGTCTATAGCGTTTCCGAGTAAACGATCCGCGATACTGCTTGATGGACTTTTATATATGTGTATACTGCTTGGTATCAAACGCTGGTAAAAGAAATACCCTCAAAGAGGGTGCAAAGCGGGTGGATTTGCGGCGCTTGCCTTTCGAACATATTATAGACTTTTCTAAAGCTTGTTCTAATCGAGGCTTCGATTTTCCGCAGCCGAGCAGTGTCTAGACGTATACGACCTCGTCTTTATCCACTCCGTAGGTGTGACGCTTCTCAAGTGCGGCCTCGTCTTCATCCACCCCGTAGGTGTGGCGCTTCTCGAGTGCGGCCTCGTCTTCATCCACCCCGTGGGTGTGGCGCTTCTGGAGTGCGGCCTCGTCTTCATCCACTCCGTAGGTGTGGCGCTTCTCGAGTGCGGCCTCGTCTTCATCCACCCCGTAGGTGTGGCGCTTCTCGACCATGCCAGAGAAAGAGGCAAGGTTGCTTGACTGCTCAGAGCGGCGAGCCAAATCAGTGGGGGGAACCGCTGCGGACTGGACAGGGAGCATATTCAGGCCGAGGCTAGCAAGGCTGAGTAAAGTGATGGGGAAATGCATTGCTGAAGTTTGAGAGAATGCTTTCGGAGGTGAGACAAAGAGGTGGGTCTTTTATGAGATGTTGTTAGTGCTCGTCGTACCCTTGGGAATTTATACGTTTCGAGATCCGAAGGAGAACTGAAGTGACGACTCAAAGTGACGGCTCAGATCTTCCCCTCATCTACTCCGTAGTCGACGATCACTACCAAAAGAGATGAGTAGCGCATGCTTGACCTGTACAAGCAATTTGGAATGCATATAATGTGATCCGCTATACGAGAGTGCAGATAATTAGTGCTTTTGTACACCCCACAGACCGGTGGAAGCCCGTCGGCCCAAGGCGAGAACGGGGCGTGTCTGTGACAGGTACAGTAGCGTAGGGATAAGCTCAGCGTTACCCACAATTCTTCCTCTTTGGTCCTAGTTGTAAGAGGGACGCGATAACGTCCTCGAACTTCATTGAATAACCACCTGGCGAGCAGGAAGTCTAGTGCAGGGTGTATTAATTAGGCGTCCCAAAGATGATCCCGGTATCTATCTATGTACTCTGTGATAAGTAGGGTAGTATTCTTTGCGGAACCACAAACTGCCCCGTGTGTGTTTCCCTCTCTCCACTTGATCGACAGAATCCTTCGAATAAGGGCATTAGCGAATAGAGCACCTCGACAGTTGCGTCTCCTCCTCGTCCCTTCTCCGGGACCATCGTGACTTGCCCACCCAAGCCAGAGCGGATAGGGCCATACATGTTTAAACACTATCAGCACGTTCCTGATGCTGAACACAATCCCGTCTCCCTCTGCTCTCCTACCAGCACACCGAGATGCTCCCTAAGTCCCTGGCACCGCAAATACGCGGCCTCTCCCTCGGGCTGCTCGCAGCGCTGAGCATATGTCTCGTCCTGAATTTGGGTGCCCTCTTCTTCTCACTCCGCATCGTAACACGCGGAACGCGGGGATACAGTGCGCCATATTCCAACTTCTCCTCGCGCTCATGACTAACGCACAGTAGCCTACCTCGCCGGCGACCGACCTCGTAATCTCCCTCTAAATGTCCGCACCATCCAAGCCGCCTTCCACGACGACCCTGCCCACTACGGGATGGAAGGCATCACGGCCACGGCTGAGTGGAACGAAATTCGCCCTCCCGGCAAGGGGTTCGTTTTCTCAGGGGAGGAACACTTCGCATTTGGTGTGTCAATGTGGCACCAGATGCACTGCCTTAATCACATACGCGCGGTGCTTGTCAACGGAGACGACGGGTCAGACCATACGGCACACTGCTTCCATTACCTACGGCAGAGCATTCTCTGCGCTGCCGACACAACCCTAGAGCCGGGCGGCACGAGCATGAAATTGGCTAATGGGGATAAAGTCGCTGCGGGTGGAGGAACTGTGCATACCTGCCGGGACTGGAGACAGGTCCATGATTGGATGGAAAGCCAGCATAAGAAGTGGACACCGGACATGTATACGAGGATTCAGGAGTCTAGTTAATAATATAGTGGGTATAGGATGGGAATTTGAAGGCTGTGTGTCGTATGGAACTAGACAACTATTCTTTAGGGTTCGTGTGGGAGAGTACGTAACTATGTGCGCAGTACCAGTTGAGCAAGGTACCATGCTCCTCGTTTCCCTTTACAAAGAACGAGAAGCCAGGGAAGCTGCCGTAGGGGAACAAGGTGGGGCGCAACCCCGTATAGCGTGAATGTAACCCTGATATGACTGAAGTCCTAGATACGATATCAGTCTACTCTAGTATCAGTTACTCCTCGTCCGTATACCGGTAACATAACGGCCAACCCTCCGTATCAAACACACTCTTCGGCGCCACAGGCACGCTCTGAACGTCGAAGGGCATTCGATGATCTGCGTGCGCGTTAGGGTCGTATCGTGGATCGGTCATATTGTGTGGGGTTAGGGGCATGCCGGAAAAGGCGGCGAAGTTGGAGGGGTGGTGGCGCTGCCACTATACAACTCATGTTAGTAGCGTTGCACTGCAGGAGACATATGGGGCGTGAAGATAGCATGGGTTCGGGGGCACACCTCACTCCACAACCGGTCCAGTTGCGCATGATGCAGCCAAAAGAGTGGGTCATTAGGCGTGAAGCTGATTGCCATGCCCTGGCAATCCTCCTCCGGCAGAATCTTCGGGCAATCTCCCGCCAAGTCGCCCCCAACGAAATTGTGTACGTGGTTGTGCAATAGCGCCATTGCGTGCTGGAACCTAAAGAAGTCGCCCGTGGTTTGCTCGGTCAAGTTGCGCACAAAGTCCGGACCGAGGGTGCGGTTTTGAGGCAGCTCATGGGCGAACCAGCCGGTTATGAGCGTCAAATTCCTCCGCAGCGGGTGCGGTATCGGCCAGGAAAGTTCGAAGTTCCCTGTGGGAGAAAAAGCGCCAGTGATGGCGGTACAGTCAGCCTCGGGGGAGGAATCGCAGTCCCCCGTGCCGCCCAGCCCATACTCTGGTGAGTCCTCGAACACTGGCGAGCCGAACAGGTCTGCGTGATCGCGCGACCAGTCCCAGTATGGTGTTGGCCCGCTGTACCCGCAATTGCGGCGGAGTGAGGTGTCGAATAGGTAGGTGAACCAGCGATCTGCGCTCATATAAGTACGAAGTATGCGCGTGGGAAAGGCAAGGGACGGAACGCACGCCACGGCAAAAAGTAGGCGTTCCTATGCGCGCTGTGCTCCACTGATGCGTGCGAGTAAGAGAAGTCGTCGTATAGGCTCCTCTTCCCCTCAAGCACCGTCTGGTCCGTCGTCAAGGATAGCCGTTCGTGTCGTATGCTTGCCAAACACTACTCGACATAAGCAACGTACGCGGTATCTACCGGGGGAAGGAGAGCGCACCTTGACAGCTCCCACCCACTCAGCCTTCTCGCGATTCGTGAAGGTCCGCCATTCTTTGCGTGTCAGCAGCTTGTTACACTTTTGTGGTTGTCCCTCGTTCCATTCGTGCGCATATGAGGCGGCGCTGGGGAGGACGGCGAGGATGGCGAGTACGAGGAACAAAATCGAACGGCCCATGGCTATAATCCAGCCAGGAGGGGAGTAGATAGCAGTCTGCGATAGTCGCAATATTAAAGAATAGCCCTGACCTAAGTAGTCAGCTTACTGTGCATGATAGAAACCCCCCTGGTCAGCCACTACTATTGATGCAGAGCAGACCCGCCTTTTAGATTAATCGCTTGGAGACCGGGCATCTCCAGTACCAATTTGCCCCCAAATTGCCCTAATTGCACAATGTCTTACTGTATCTTCCGCTCGTGGCTCCCCTTGTGCTACTAATAGCAAGAACAAACCCTCCTCGCCCACGTCCATCTTGAAGGCACAAGCACAACGATGCGCACCTCTTCCTACCTCTCCCGCTTCCTTGCTCCCCTCCTCTGCATCTTCTTCCCCCTCTACCTGGCCATCCGTGACTCCACCTTGTTGTCCGACATCGCATTTCTCCTCTCCCCCTCTCCGAGCGCGCCGAAGCCCTTCACATCAAGCTCACCTCCCCGATTGCCGCCCCTCCAGCACCAATCTCCAAAGAAGCCTTGGAAGCTTCCGCCGAGCTCGCTAAACCCGTGCGTGCACCCGAAGGCGAGAGAAGGAAGAGATACCCCTCCCTTCCCGACGGACTGGCCCACTGCATCAACTCCTTCGAGCAGTATCCTTTCCTCGCCGAACAAGTGCTCCAGCGAAAGCAAGCGCGGTATTCCAAGCAGACGCCAGCGCAGAAGGCGATAAGTAACAATCTCGGCTATCCTGGACACTTCGAGAAAGCTAGGAAGGGGATCGAAGTGAACGCCCAGTTCTCAGAAAAGATCGCGCATATTGCGAGGGAGGGTTACCACACTGGCCCACAAGCGCTGGAGGACAATGGAGACGCGGAGTTTGGAGTTGTAGACCTAGCGTTTGGACATCTTTCGCGAGACTGGAGCACCCAAGGCGCAAAGGAGAGGCAGGCCGTGTTTCCGCCTGTTCTGGGTGGGCTTGAGCAACATTTTGGCGGGAACGGGAGAGGGAACAAGGTCCTTGTACCCGGAAGCGGTATGGGCAGGCTGGCAAGCGATATCGCTGATCTAGGTGCGTCCATATTACTCCATTGGATTGAAGGCGCGGCCTCACATCGGTGCAGGATACGACGTCACGGCCAATGAGCTGGACTACGGCTCTATCCTGGCCTACCATCTGCTAACGAACCACACGAGCTCACTGCACCAGCACACCCTGCAGCCCTTCGTGACCAAATGGACGTATCAGGCCAACCCCTCCTCGCGCTACTCCGCCCTAACAGTGCCGGACCACTGGCCAAACAAGGCCGTCAAGCTCGTCGAAGGGGACTTCTTGGTGATGTTCCCCGAGGACGGTGAGTTCGACGCCGTCGTCACGCTCTTCTTCATCGACATTTCCAAGAACGTGATTGACTTCCTGAGCAATATACATCGGCTGCTAAAGCCTGGTGGGGTGTGGATCAACCTTGGGCGTACGTTACTGTCTTCCCTTCCTTGAACGCCGACCTTTATAATTTTCTTGTGATCCGTTCACCCAAACTCAGGCTGACGTTTATGTACACAGCGCTGAAATGGGGTACCCATACCGCTCTCCAGCTTTCCGCGGAGGAAGTGCTCCAGCTGGCAGATCTGCTCGGGTTTGACGTGGACCATACGTCAAGGAAGAGCATCGACAGTCTGTATGCCGAGCAGCCAGAGACGTTACTGAAGTTCACTTACGGTGAGTGTCTGCCGTTTTCCTGTGAGGAGTGAGCACGATTGCTGATTGGGCGGGCAGTTACGCAGTTCTGGTCCGCGACGAAGAGGGGTTAAAACGAGGGTTGTGTAGGTTATTTCCAGGCTTTGGGCTAGATACCTTGAAAGTGAATACTACTTCTTCGGATTTAGAAATATAAAGGTGGGAAGCGACTATAGGAAGTAATTAATTAAAGGTATTAAAAGAGTTACTAGCCAGGCTTATAACTATTAAACGAAGAAGCTAAGGATTAAATAATACGAACTAAGGTAAACTAACACTATAACTCTAATAGGTTAAAGATTAAATAGTGAAATAAGTGTGTCTTAGGGAGAGCAACTAGGTACTCCACTATTTAATATATTAGGGGCTTATAAAGAAGTGCCAAGCTTAACAGGCGGCTTCCTAAGGCTAGCAAGTGATGCCTAAGGTGGTTCATGCATGCATAGCGTAATGACAGGACAGGAAAGGTGTAATTCCGGCTGACATTAGGCTACTCAGTGAGCAAATCAGAGCGCTTAGGTGACGCTTAGTGAGTTCCAAGGTTACATGGTAAGGCTACCTACCTACCTAGGTAGGTAGGTAGCCAGCCATCCCGCTTATATAACGATCAGGTGATGCTCGGTGAGCGACCTCGGGAGAGTGGTGATTATATAATACTTAGGGGCGTGCTTAGTTATACTTAGTGAGCAAAAAGCGACAAGGACTAAGCACCAAGACGGAAATAGAAGGCCAAAAAGTGGCAGAGGAAATCCGCTATATAGGCAGAACCCACATGTGCACTCTTTCGGGCCTAATAGGCCGTGTGGAGACAAATTAGGTCGTAACACCGAAGTTCTGCCTTAGAAAGGTACCACGCCATCTCTTTGCTCATGGGGAAATCCCATGCCAAAGGTCTGTACGATAAAGAGCAAGTATGGGATATAAGGGGAAGCCAATACTCTGCCTTATCTATACAATGTACACTCTACACAGTAGGGAAAGAAACTACCTGTTTTTGTTCGGCGCTATAGATCATCTTCTCGGCACAGCACCAATCCTGCAAGCCGTTCAAGCGCTACTCCGTACTCCGTACAAGCCCAGCTCTTCTTCGAATATGCCAATCACTGATTTTCGGCCCCACCTTCGAAAAATTCCGAGTTCCAAATGATAAGTGTCTTCAATTTATATCTTCTTTCTAATCTGTGTCAGTTTAAGGGCTTGCGGCTGATATTTAAAGCAACCTCGGCTTCGGGATCTCGGCCTACATTGGCAGCATTTTCGCCATCTCTCAATAAAGAAATAGAGAACGAGACACTCTACTACTACAGCCTTATCTCGGGGCTGAAATCCGAAACCTGAGGGAGCCTCTACTCCTATTTCCCCTATTTTCTTCACTACAACCCCTAACATTGGGGTAACCGGCTCATTTGATATCTAGTATACACCCAAATAGGCTCGCCGACCACTGTTCCATTGCCTAGAAGGCTATTGGTCCAGGGAATGGCAGCTCAACACTCCAATTTGGAGGGCCAAGATAAATGGCCTCAGAACACTGAGAGGGTGTCCCAGGACACAGACTCTATCGAGTCCATTTCCACAGTAGACACACAGGCCGACCGCGATGCGCTAGGAAAGACATTGACAGCTCGCGCCTCGCGAACCTCGCATATGTCACTGTCGGAGCGTGTAACGACAATCGCAACCAATGCCACCGCTGACCCCGACTACGAGGTCGACTGGGATGGCGACGATGACCCTGAGAACCCCAAGAACTGGAATTTAAAGTATAAGTCCATGGGCATCGTGTTCCTATCATGGAATACTCTCATTGTGTAAGTATCTATCTTGAAGTTTTGAAGCACGAGGTTCTCTAGCTAACAAACCCGGAAGCGTGTTGTATTCAACTTCTTATACATCAGGTATTACATTAATGGCCGAGGAATTCGGCCAATCCGGGACTATCGTCACCCTTGGCTTAACCTTCTATCTGTTCGGTCTTGCCATCGGGTCCATGTTCATGGCCCCGTTGAGCGAGGTCTACGGACGGAAACCTGTCTGTGTAATATGTCTTGCCGTGTTCACAGTCCTGATCATCCCCTGCGCGCTCGCGAAGTCCGTCACAGCACTGATCGTCGTTCGGTTTATCGCTGCTTTCTTTGGCAGTGTTATGATCTCTACAGCGCCCGGTATGGTGGCTGATTTGGTAGACGATGAGCACCGCGCTCTGGCGATCTCTGTTTGGAGTATCGGGCCACTCAATGGACCAGGTTTGTTCTTCACCTATTCTCTTTTCCGTCACAATGAGTCCATTTCTAACGGGATATAGTTATCGGCCCTGTTATCGGAGGGTTCGTCACTCAATATCTTGGCTGGCGCTGGATGTGCTGGATCGCGCTCATTCTCTCCGCTATCGCGTTGGTCTTTGCTATCCTCCTCAAGGAAACCTACGCACCAACCATTCTACAAAAGAAAGCAGCCAGACTCCGCAAGGAGACCGGCGAGTCCCGCTGGTGGAGTCGTTATGACCAAAAGGCGAGCCTTCCCGAAATCCTCAAGCTGAACCTCAGCCGGCCATTTGTAATGGCGGTCACCGAGCCAATCTGGTGAGTCTCTTACCCTTCTGTACCCCACAGCAATTCACAGAACATGAAACTAACCCAATCAGCATTTTCTGGAACATCTACATCGCAATCATCTATGGCATCCTGTACCTCTGCTTCGTAGCTTACCCAATTGTCTTCCGAGATATTCGCGGATGGCAACTGGGCGTGTCTGGGCTCGCCTTCCTGGGTATCGGGATTGGCGTCCTCCTCACAATCGCCTGTGAACCCTTAGTCCGGCGGCTAGTCAACAGCCACCCAAAGATCCCGAGACGGGAAAACCATACCCAGAAGCAATGGTCGCGTTCGTCTGCATCTGCGCAACAATTATCCCAGTCGGTGAGCTCTGGTTCGCATGGACATGCTCTCCAGCCTCGATTCACTGGATCGTGCCGACACTCGCGGGTATTCCGTTCGGCGCGGGAAACACTGGTGTCTTCATCTATGCGTCCAACTACCTGACTCACAGCTACGGTATGTATGCTGCTTCTGCTTTGGCGGGTAATTCGGTTATTCGGAGTATCCTCGGTGGTGTTCTGCCTCTTGCTGGCTCTTCTATGTATGCCAGTCTGGGGCCGAATTGGGCCGGCACTCTGCTGGGGCTGTTGGAAGTTGTGATTGTGCCGATTCCGTTTGTGTTCTATAAGTATGGACATAAGATTCGTATGAAGAGTCCCCTCATTGTGCGCATGCAGGAGGAGAAGACGAAGCTGGAGGGCAAGCGGGCCAAGAGGCAGCTTCGGCTTCAGCAAGTGAATCAGGCAGATGAGAAGAAGGTGGAATTGGCGGTTTAAGGTTGCTCCTTGATGTTTTTTTGTCTGGTGTTCTGATTTACGTCTTGATACCCCTCGCCTTGTATCCGAGGTGCTCGAAAAGTAATATATAGCAAAATGTCTAATGCAGAGACGCTCCATTAATGAGTGATTTCCTTGGGCTCCATGTGATCTTCTGAGCCACTACAGATGTTTCCTTAATGGGTGAACTGTATCATCCGCTCGACATGCTGAGAATTGCAAAGGATTCGCTCATACTCCCCGATGGAAATAGCTCCCGCCGGAAAAACCATAATCGCCTCGACATACACCGGACGAGGTGGGATCGCATCAGGCCTCTGGTTTGGCCGATTCGCGTCGCCGGGAGTCGAAGGGAATGAAGATGGAGGCGATAGTGGCGGCATCGACTCCGACTCTCTAACATAGCCCACAACATTCAGCCATGTTCCTACGCGCAATTCTTCGGCCGTCAGGTCCTCAAGGAGGGCATTGATGTCGACAGATACAGAGCTTGGAGCTGTCTTGCTGCGTGGATAGTTGTGTTCCAATATCAAATGGCCGGTAGTGATGGTATAATGTGTCACACTATGTGTACACAAGAACGCAAATCGTCGTTAGTATTGGAAAGCCTCGACTTAGTTCTATTTTGTTCTCTGCTCTGGGCCTGACGCACCAGCCAAGAAAGCGGATCTTCGAGTCCGCCTGTAGAGATGAGAGATCGGAGAGGAACACGCGAGTCGAGGGGCGCGGCCCATTCATCTCTGCGCTAGTTGAAGAAAATGCTTGACATTGTAAAAAGTATGAAAATTGAAGAAAAGAATAAGAGGCAGATCAAAAGGTCACAAACACAACGGTCTTGTTGGCGCACGTGACTGGCCTTACCGTGTATGTCATAGGCTCAGCGAGGGAAAGTCGGGCTCCCCTCCACTTTACATTCATCCAGAAATTATCCTTGGGAGCGCTCTCGACGAGTCCGTGTGCTCCAAACCCCCTTGGTCATTCGGGGCTTATTTCCCGCCCTTCTCTTACTCCGTCTGTCAGCTCACTGGCTTTGCCTGGAGCCTATCGTTCCACCTGACTTGCAGCAAAGAAAACAACCAATTTAGTCTTCCCTCCTCACTCACCCCGGATTTTCGGCCGCCTGGTCTCCTTGGACATATTTCCTGACCACCGGGACTTATCCTGCTTATTTACTCCCTTCGATTTCCAGTTACACAGTCACCGACATCAGAATGTGGTCTTGGTTTGGCGGGGCCGCCGCTCAGAAGCGGAAGGATGCGCCCAAGAACGCTATTCTACAGTTGCGCGAGCAGCTGGATATGCTGCAGAAACGCGAGAGGCATCTCGAGACCCAGATCTCAGAACAGGAGGCTATGGCGCGCAAGAACGTTAACTCAGATAAGAATGGTATGGTTGCGAATCTTGCAGATTGTTGCTGGACATCTATTTGAGAGTTGCATATGGTGGCTAACTATCTGTTCCTCTTATTATCGTGTTGAATAGCCGCCAAAAACGCTCTCCGACGCAAAAAGGTCCACGAGAAGAATCTCGAGCAGACAACAGCTCAGATTATGCAACTCGAGCAGCAGATATACTCCATCGAAGCCGCGAATATCAACCACGAGACCTTGGCTGCAATGAAGCAGGCCGGCGCCGCTATGAAACAGATCCACGGTGGAATGAAGCTCGAGGATGTCGACAAGACGATGTACGTTGCTACCGATCCCTTGAGCCTTATCTATCATATTGCCCTATCGTTATTATATTACAGCCATACTGATAATTCGCAGGAGGAACTCCAAGACCAGCATGCGCTCAGCGCCGAGATCGGAAGCGTCATTACCAGTTTCCCTATCGGCGAACAGCCGGACGAGGAAGAGCTCGATGCCGAGTTGGAGGGTCTGGAGCAGGAAGCTATGGACGCAAAGATGCTCCACACCGGGACCGTACCCGTGGGCAGTCAACTGGACCGGTTACCAGCTGCGGGGAATACAGATCGTAAGTTGGAACAGAGCAGATATCATACCTATCGTTCACTAACCAACTTGTCTATAGTCAAACAACCCGCCAAGGCACAAGAGGAAGACGACGAGGAAGCCGAGCTGGCAAAGCTGCGCGCGGAAATGGCCATGTGACAGCCTCTTACTTCCTACCATGCGACCAATGCAGCCTCGTTTCCGTTGAAGTCTCACCCTTTTGCTCTTCCTTGTTCTTTGTCTTACCCTCGCATGCATGACCCGGCCATTTTATCAAGCAAGCCTTTTTCTCTTTTGGTTCTCAGTGCATCAGCACCGGGAACCCTTCTTTATTACCTCTATCTCTCTTGTTGTTTCTCTACCATCCCCTCCATATGATCTGACACTGCCTAGGTATCTCTGAGGGCTCACGCCGGTCTGCCTTGTCTTGTCTTCTGTCACTTTTTCTATCTGGCTGTTCCACTCCTCAACACCCTTTGTTAAGCCAACTCCCTCGATCTCTTGGTTCCATGTCTATTTTTGCTTCCCTTTCTTTGAAATGGAGTTTTAGATGACCTCGGTTTTCCTTTCTTCTATTTATTCGTGTAAGCTAAGTTATTAATTTCAAATTTTCACCTTGGGGTATGCTTCCACACAGAATCACAAGTTCATTCATTATAACCTTAATCTCTAAAAGTAAACTAGGTTAAAATAATAGCTGATAATTTTACGGTAAGAGAATCTTCTTAAGGACCGTCATATCTTTCGCCATCTCAACAGACATCAATTCGGGCCTATGGCGCAGCGGTAGCGCGTGAGATTCCAGACCTCAAGGTCATCCGTTCAAATCGGGTTGGGCTCAACATTTCTTTTTTGTTAACTCTTCATTCCTTCCCCAATGCCTCTTTTTAGTCCCGAGACGTACCTAGGTAGATATGGTAAAACGCGTGTATAGAGAGGCCCATGGAGTATGAATCAGGCAAAATATACGACTTTCTGTGATGAAAAATGAGAATTTTTTCACTATGTACAAGTCATGTTTCATGAGTATTTGCACACCAGTACTTCAGGAGGGCCCCATTTTCTGCCGGGAATAACTTCGTACTCACTCCCAACCAGTCGTGCTATGTGGGTGGGTCATATAATAATAGGAATAGGTAGGCGGTGTTGACAGAGCGGTCAATGGTAGAGGTACACGGGTGCAAATACTCATGAAACGGCACTGTAAAGTAGAACTGGGCTGGATATTTGGCAGAATAAAAAGTGGCAGAAACTATGGCAGAATCTAGTAACAGCACTTAATTAGGAAAGCGGTACTGGACTTCCAGCCAGGTGTCAAACCTAGAAATATTTTTCTTTTAGCCTCAGTATGCCTATTTTGCTGAGAATAGGCATCAATTCGGGCCTATGGCGCAGCGGTAGCGCGTGAGATTCCAGACCTCAAGGTCATCCGTTCAAATCGGGTTGGGCTCAACCTTTTTTTTTTGCCAATTCTTCATTCATTTTTTTACTATGATTAGAGTCCAATATCTCTCAGTAGGTTCGTTTTGCGTAAACCTTATATAGTTTATGGTTATACTCAGGTCGAGGTTAAGAGAGGGCTCTATAATTTCAACACGTCTAACTATTAAAGTAAGTCAATACGCGTACTATATTGTATATAATATATCCATGGATATATACCAGGAGCTTTTGAAGAGGGGCTAGTTATATTGCGCATCTTATTATACATATATATGTACTGAAAGTAGTAGTTATAAATACCACCTGGGCAGGAATATGAAGTCTACTCATAGAAGAGTAAAGAAACCTTTTTTTTAATGTATTCCTTTTAATTTAAAAGGGCTTCCCGGTTCTTATTAGTAGTGTGATTCCACAACATGTATGCCAATACATAGTAAGAACACCTGCATATATATACCACTGCAACAAGTCAGTCCCCATGAACTGACTTTGTTTTGACCTTTTGGTCTAATGGGTAAATGTTAGAGCAGTGGCTGGCATATCTCAACAGTAACATCATCGAAATCGGCTCTATATCCATTATTTCCACGGCCTGACTTGTAGGTCATCAGTACAATACCACGGCTGAAGATATGGAAGTGGCTAATTCTTGATGGCTGCTTCGCAGGGCTAGCAATGTTGCCATTGAAAAAAAGTTGGTTCAGTGTTATCTAAAAATCCATCACTCGAAGCCAGTCATACAGATCCAGTGATCGAAGATCGAAAAAGAAAAGAACCAGTCAGTACAGTATGGAGATAGGCAAAGATCCACCAAAGGCGTATGTCGTGAAAACGAAAGCAGACCCGGAAGCAGAAAGAAAGAAAAAAAACTCCAGCGGCTTTTGCCTGCCATGTCCAGCCACCCAGCCCATGCTAACCTATAAATTTCGCCGACGCGCAAGAATCCCAAGGAAAAAAGAAAAGAAAAGAAAGAAATCGACTATAGAATTTACGGGTACCAGGCGTAACTCTTGGTTGGCTGAGTACGCTCACCATCCTTGGTCTCACTAGTCCACTTGGACTTCCATTCAACCTCCTGTGCCGCAGCATCAACGAGAGCTTCCTTGCAGTCTGGCGGAAGCAATTCGAGGATCTCTGGAGTCATGAACTCGGGATGTTCGGGGTTGGCGACGCTGACCAGGCCATTGGGGCCAATATCGTGCACATCTCCATCAGGGCCCGGGATGCCCATGTTTGAATATGGCGGCGATTCATAGACGATGTCCTGGATGACGTAGCGGTCGTGGAGGTGAGCGGGAACAGGTGAAAAGGTAGTGGCAAGGCTTTCAGTGGTCTCGCCAGTGGTAGCCTCGTGGGATTCTTGGGCTTCGTGGGAGGTCTGGTTCTCATGGCCGGAAGGAGAGCCTCCGTTGGAGAGGTTCAACGAATTCATGTTCGTCGTCAACTCGGTCGGAACGGATGCCGGAGCTGGGGAAACGCGCTCCCATCGAGCGTGAGTTGGCTGCATGATCTTCGGGTGCTGCATAATATTGGTGTGGACATCGTACACACCACCCAGATTCGAACGGCGCATCTCGGCGAGCTTTGAGTTAAAGTTGCTATACTATGCATTAGCCGACAGGTCCCAACGGGGTTTTCGCTTTCAATATAGACCCACCTTGCAGCCCGGGCATGCTCGAGCATCCAGTTGTCATCAGTAACCGGCACACGGCGTTTCTTGGTATCAACTGGCTTTCCACCAACAAGCGGGACCGCGGGCGCATTTGTGTGATAAACACTGCTTGCGCCGTGCCAGGCGACGTACTGATTCCTGTTGTAAGTTTCTCCAGGTCCGGGCAATCTGTCTTCCGGAACGGCCAGCTCGCCTTCCACATCACCGCGCTCGCGAGCAGCAGCTTCGTCATAGTCGTCGGTAATCTTCTTACCACCAACAATTATTTTTGCGCCGAACTCGCGGAACACAGAGCGCGCCGTGACAACACCAATGGCTCGTCCCTTATAAGAGTGGGGGATGAGATCGCGTTCAATCAAATCACGCTTGGCGTCATCATCAATGATAATCTTGTACAGCATCTTGTGCTTCTGGAAGAACAAGTACGAGTCACGGAAGCCAATGCAGCGGGCCGGTTCAGTGGACAACATGTAGAGGCGGTCTCCGCGACCAAGAATCTTGAAGGTACGGACTCGATACTCACGTCCGCCTTGTAGGTGGCCATTCTCGTCGACTTTAGTAGCACCAATTGGGTCGGGCGGAATCGACACTTCGTCGTTGATTACATCCATCATGTTTCCTTCCTTGTCAACAGGCACCTGGGTGAGATGGGAAGGGCCGCGGTTGCG